ATAGCAATGCAACCATTACAAAGAAGAATCATCAAAACAGAGTAGGGGAAAAACCATTAGGCATGAGCAATATCCTACAAATCAGAACAGTCAATAAACCAAAAAATAATGCAGTTCAAAGTCCACTGTTTTGGTTTGACTGTTGAACCAGATTAAAACATAAAAACCTTTTAAGAATCAATAATTCCAAAAAGAAGTATAAAAGTTAATTTGGCCAAGAGTGCTGTGGCTGGAATAAGCGCGGACTGCCAAAGTTTCTAGCCTTGTACTGTTTTGGTGCATCTAACCAGCTCTATTAGGCACAGTATTCTAAACAGTGCCTCATGAGGCACCGTATTCCCTTCTGTTGGCACTATAAGGTACTGTTACAAGATTAGGTGAGGCACGAAAGGCATTTTCTCAAAACTTTATTCTTAATTGTGTGCAATAATTTTTCCATATGAAAGTTTAAAATGTACTTAGTGTTGCATTCTAAAAGTACAAATTCTTATTATGGTCATCTACTGCAACTGAAACTGATATGATTCTTTTGTAACAAAAAGTGAAATGATCTCTCACAGTTTAAGATTTCATAACTGAATCCTCACCCTTTAGAAGTTAAGATATACAGGTTTATGAAAAAAAAAATGGGGTGAAGTGGCAACTTTACCATCAGCCAAATCATTGACTAATTATCTGGTGATTAATTCATTAAAAAATCTGCCGACCGCTTTTCACTAAAAAAAACGAGGAACTTCAATCAGTTCCAGTTTCAATGGTTGTTGAACTGGCCGGCCCTATCTAGTGAAAGAATAATTGACTTTGCAGAAAATGCTCAACAAAAAGGAATGGTGCTAGGATATTAATAAAGGGCCTTCGGTTGACTGAAATGTATTCACTGACAATAACTAAATGTTTGAATTAATCACTTTTCAAATTACATGTTACGGGTTTCAGAGCATTTTTGCCAGAAGCAAAGCAACTGATTTCCTAAGCATGCAATAGGGCCGAGCAAAAAACCATAGCTGCCAGTTCTCTTCCCATCTATGCTTTATGCATAAACATAAGATAAACTGTATCAATGAAAGAAAGAGTTCACAAACCGGGACGGAGGATCAGCATAAGTTGAATGATCAAGATATACATCAGAAATCATTTCTCCACCACCTAGAGAAATCAAAGAGGTGGCAACAGTAAGATTACCTTCAAAATGAATAGTCCCACTAACCTGGTGTCTAAAAATAAAATAATTTATTTTCTTACTATTTAAATTATTCCTTTCTGACACAGACGTATGAAAATTATAGTGACTTACCCAAAAACGGTGGCATGGTAGACAAGATATCACTTTTACCATACAAGAATCCAATGCCTGTAGGCCCACACATCTGAAATATGTTTGATCATCGAATTACTAAAATCATCCTAATGTTCTTTTATTTGTATATGTCTAACCAATCATACCTTGTGTGAAGAGGCAACAAGAAAATCAACATTAAGGCTCTGAACATCAACCACCATGTGTGGAACACTTTGACAGGCATCTACGAGCACTTTGGCTCCAACATCATGTGCCCAATGTGCAATTTCTTCAATTGGAAGGACAGAAGCTGCAGAGAAGCAGATAACAAACTAATAAATACTCATCAGCATCAGCCATATTTCAAGAACGAGAAACAGGCAGTATTATTGTCCAAATTGAAATTGATGAGGACATCACAACGCACCAGCATCAAAGGAGAGCCTATTTATGTGGAATTTGTGGATCATCTTTAAATTTTAGTAATCACCATTTTCTGGAACTTATTTAGCAAGTTTGCATTATTATTGGTGGAGTATTGATATCAAACCTTAGATGTGGAGGGAGAAAAAAAACTATGGCAAAGCCTTAACAGAGCACAAGGGTCATTTTTCATTCTCAAAACCACTCTTTTTTTTTTTAACTTTCCATTACATTTCATTCCATTCGATATACTGAACAGGCTTGATAGAATTAAGGTTTTTTAGCCAAGGAATCTATAACATTTGGTAAGGTAAATTAACCTTACTTGCAAACTTTATTGCTAGAATGGGGAAAAAAATCCTTCTGGCTCTTCTAAAAAGGATATAGGATACTAGCCCAAAGCAAGTATTTAATTATAAGCGAGAAATTGATCTTCCAATAAGCAAAATAGTTAATAATAAAGGTTGAACGGAAATTTTATGCATATCATATACCAAGACTTTCAGCATAAACTCAGCTCGTAGACAAGTACCACTTCAACAAGCACAACAACAGAGGATAAACCGGGCTTTAAAACCAGATACTTTTTCGGGGAGATGTTAAGTGATTTAATTAATGAAACGGAGGAGTCAGTAAGCGGCAAAGAATAAGTGTAAGAACTTCAAAATTTACCACTGAGGCATGCAGAGGATCTGTGACAACCTTAATTCAAGGTATCCTTAGAAGGTATATAGGATATATACTGATACGCGTAAAGAGAAAAACACAAAAGTAGTGGAGAATCAGAAAGAAAAAACTACCAAGCACATTTGAAACGTGATGGACAACTATTAGCTTTGTCTTCCTCGAGATCATTTCTTTTAACTTGTCAATATCAGGAGTTTCATCTTGGCTTAGATCAACAAATTTCAAAACAGCCCCAACACTTTGTGCTACAAGTTGCCAAGGCACAATGGCACTATGATGTTCAGCAACCGTCAGTATGATCTGTGAGAATGGCATACATGATGTAAGATCAGGAATACATTACAAATAAAAGAAAGTGGACTTAAGATTCACTCCCCAATATGAGCCATGAAAGTCAGATAACGTATTTATATCTAAAACATAAGCTAATGCAAGGAGAATACTAAGAAAGTTTTACACAAATAAAGAGGGAGTAGAATAGGAGAAAAAGAATTCTGAATGAAACCATTATGCTCTGTATTCAACACCAAGAAAAAAAAATTATGCTCTCTCAAAATATTAAGAAAATTTTCCAAGGTATACATGAAGAATGAAATGAATAGAGATTTTCAAAATAGTTGTCAAGCGTGACATACCTCATCTTCTGGTTTTAAATTTGACAAGCCCCAAGAATATGACACTAGATTGATAGCTTCAGTAGCATTTCTAGTAAAAATAATCTCCCTTGAATCTGAAGCATTGACAAATGCTGCAACCTTCTTTCTAGCCAATTCATACTCATCTGTGGCCTTTGCACTATATCCACAAAAAATGATAATGCATCATAAAGCAAGTGATCATAATACAATAATGATTTTTTGTTAAATAAGAAAAGCAGATTTTGAAAGATACTACAAGTTTATTTTTCCATTATAAATTCTTGTCAGAAGGAAAAAAGGAACCATATTTAAATTGCCTGAGAAAGTACATGTGCGTATCTGTTTCTAACAGGAAAAGCACCTTAAGAAATGAATGCCACGGTGAACATTTGAATTATAAGCTTCGTAATAATGTTGCAAGGTCTTCAAGACATTGATTGGCTTCTGAGAAGTTGCCGCATTATCCAAGTAAACAAGTTTTGAGCCATTCACTTCCTATATATTGAGTTGAAGTATTAGAACTACATAAGACGTACAAAAACAACAAACTAAATTTTTTATCCATGAAAAGAAACATAAGCAGTCAAAACCATATTATACCACAAACATGCAAAATAGTAATCAAGGCAAAATAACAATAATAATAATAATGTAACATCAAATAAAATAAAAAGAAAAATATAGCCAACCCATAAATGGATAAGGGACTTGCTAAGTTCTCAGCAATTTTACAGGCTGATTAAGGCTAAGCTAATGCCAACATAGATTAATAACAAACTTTATCATTCAGGCATGTAAAGTTGTTCACAGTGACTTTTTTTTTGGGGGGGGGTATGTAATGAGATAAACGCAAATCATCATACTGATAATCAAACATTGTATCATCAGATGCAGATTGTACTTAAGGAAAACAAAAAATTGATCGTAAGAAATTACGTACCTGGTGGAGAATGGGGAAGTCAGGTCTGGTTGAGTGACCCAGAGAAGTACCACTAGAAGGTTTGGCTACTTCTTCATTGACTATGGATGCACAAACAGAAGACAAGCGACGGAATCTAAGTCCATTAAATGATGATCTATGAGTATTGATAGAGCAGCGGCAAATGGGGCTTGAAATTTTGAAGGATGGAAGCTTTGGAACCAAAACTTCCATTATTGAACACCCAACAAGAAAGTAAACTATTTTGTCCAACTAATATATATTGAGTTCGTGGAAGCCTGTACGCTTTTATCTCTGAGAAAAAAGTGAAAGTCAGCATTAAAAGGATCCAACAAATATGCCCTTGGAAGATTAACCACATCTAAACATAACACACGCAGGCTTCACAGAGTGAGAGAAATAGAGTAATTGGAAGCTGAAGCAAGACAATGCTGGGGCTAATCTGCCACCACATAACAGGAAGAAGATGCCAAAGTAGAATCTGCTCCTATGGTCATTTTATACTCAATTTCTCTTTCACATGAATTCAACACATTGACAACTTTAAACTAGATCTTGTAATATCTTTTCTCAGTCTTACTAGATTATCTTCCTTTGTCCGAGTTGTGCCACAGTCATGGCCACACAATTTGCTCAGACCAAGCGTGTAAAAAACTACAAATATTTTATATATACTATAGTTTAGACATCAAGAAAAAGAAAAGTTTTAGGACCCCAAAATACTTTACCCCCACACTTGTAATTGCCACCAACCTAGGAAGCACGGATGCAAATTCAGTCAACCTCAGAAATTGTACATGTATAATTTAAGTTATCATGCCATAACTGACAAAGAATGTCAAGCATGTGTTGGCCACAAAACTTGATCATTTTTTAAGTGTCCATGTTTCCTTGTTGTCAACTTATCTTTCCATGATTTGTATCATGGGACAGGCCCAACATATTGTTATTGAAAAGATACAAGCCCGATCACAAGTAGTAACTTAATTGAAAAGAAAAGTAATAAAAAGGTGCTTAATATGATCCAAATTTCAGATTTCTTGGCCTAGTGGACTGATATTTCATTTACTAGGTTGAGTGTTCACTATATATTTCTACGAACCCTTTCATTCTGTCACATGCTTTTTACATTTCAGGCTAAGCGGTTGACACAAAAGAGAATCAACAGAATTGAGCATCATCGTCAGAGTTAATAATAATAATTTAAAAAAAGAAGAAGAAGAAGAAGAAGAAGCAGGTGTTCTTTATATTAACAAAACACAGAACTGGGTAACGCACCTGCTTTATCTAGTGAAAAGTTTGAAATCTTCTCTTTCTTCTCTGTCAATCAAATTAGAGCAGCCCTTTCCAAAGACGTGGAGACAACATAAAAAGTCCTGAACAAAAATCAAAACCAATTAGAGAGTTTTTTTTTTTTTTTTTTGGGTGCCTGGAAAAATATTATAAATAAAGAATACCGATACTGGATTGGGAAAAACCTAGAAAATGTTGCTGAGAAAAGATAAGTAAAGAGCTAAAGCAATTTTGCAAGATGAAGATGAAGCTATCAAAGTTGGGGCACAGCCAAAAGAGAAGAGACATATTGAGGAGTGGAGGAGTATTTGGAGGTGTGGGAAGAAGATGACTTCTATTCGGCTACACCTTTGGAGGTAAATGAGTGTGATAATATCCATTTAAAACAAAAAACTAGGCTTCCTATTTTGTTGTTGGCAGAGCCACACGTTCTTCCTCAAGTTCAAGCTCTGAATTTTTCCAGTGGGGTTTCCAAAAGCACTGCAGATTCTGGTTATGACCCTTGAATCAACTTCTCAACACAATTTTACCTACTCACCCACTTGGATAGGAGAGGCAACTTCATCATTTGATAGACCAGCATGTTTCATGAAACAGAGAAGAATAAGCATACAACGAAATAGGAAACTCAACCCTTAGGAGAATCAGCCCACATGTCGATGGTTCACGTTTGATGGCGACAACCCATTCATCCAACTTTCAAACCGAAATTCTACGAAAAGGCAAAAAACAAAACAACCATTCAAGAAGCAAAAGCAAACCTTAGAAAGCATCAGCAAAAAGAGAAGGGAAGCTCCGTGCTCTGCTCAGTTAGCAAGAAAAGAAACGCTGGTCGCCGGAGAAAGGGAAGGTCCTCGATCACACTCACGCAGCACGGCAGCAGCAGATTGAAGCAGAGAAGAGGAGTGGGAGGAGGAGGAGGCGCCGAGCTAGGGTCTCCAGGGGAGGTCAATGAAATCGCAAATGCCGAATGAGGTCGAGAGGTTGACGAAGGAGAGAAGCCCGTGAGTTTCTGCAGAAAAGGAGTCGCAATCTTGAGGGAGATTGAGTGCGTGCCTGCGTGTGGTTCTGTAGCCAGCGGAGGGCTCGAAGGAACGAGAGAGGGGAGAGGAAAAGGATAAGTTTTGCTGGAAATTTTGATCCGTTTAATTTAGTACTCCTCCGAGTTTTTAATATAAACTTATTTAATAAGTAATTAATTATAAAAAAATATAATATGTTTTTTTTAAAATATCATAATCATCTTTTTTAATATTATTCTTCTCTCACTTACTTGATTATGGTTGAGAGCGTATTAATAGAGATAATTTAAGAAAATTTGATAAATATAAAAAATGTCTTATATTTAGAACTAAAATTAACTTAATAATTAGATTTTATATTAATGATCGATAAGTATATCTTAAAATATTAATCCAAATATAGCTATATAAAACTTATGACATGTAATTAGATCTTGTATGAATAATAAAGAGAGAAAACAAAAAAGAGGTCCCTAAAATGTAGTTGTTTAGCCTCTTTTTTCTTGTTGTTTGTTTAAGGAGTTACTCCCTCCGTTCCTTATTATAAGAAACATTTGATGCTTATGGCATGTTCCTATACATAAGAGACACTTACAAGTTGTCTCTACTTTTTTGTGTTGATTTACTATTTTACCCATATTTATTATCTCCAACTCACACTCTCTCTCCTCCCCACTTCTCTTTCTTTTAATAATTTAATTGTTCTCTCTTATGCTCTCTCTCCTTATCAATGAGGGCATTTTTAGAAAAAAATTATACTTTTTACACATTAATTGTTCTTAACTAATTTTAACTGTTTTTTTTATCAACGTACTTCGGTTATTTGTCTCTTGTAATAAGAAACGGAGGGAGTATTTACTATCCTCTCCAAAAATATTATCCATACAAGATCTAGTTAGACACTGTTTAATAAGTTAACATCAATATTTTAATGTTATTTACGACATTTTTACATATTTTGATAACGTGAAACTAACATTTCAAGATAGAATAAGTGTCAAAAACGAGAACTACAAATTTAAAATTTGAGAACTAAGAGCTTGTTTGGTTTCTTTTTTGGAAACAATTTTTAGTTTTTTAAAACAGAAAAATAAAAAAACTTATTTAGTAAATTGTTTTTAGTTTATTGTTTAAAAAACAAAAAAACAGTATCAAGTTTTTAAAAACCAAAAAACCAAACAATTTTTATATGTTTTTCTGTTTTTGTTTTTACGTTTTTTATTTTTTGTTTTGAAAAATTTGAGAAATCTTATTTTCTTCTCACCTACTATTCATTACTTATTATTATCAATCACAACTATCATCTAGCAAGCATGGCTTTTTATGATTTTTTTTTTTCAAACATGACTTTTAAAAATTATTATCCAAACAAATTCTTTTGTTTTTGTTTTCAAAATTTGTTCTAAAAACAACTTTATAAAATTGTTTTGAAAACAAGAAAATAAAGACAAAAACAAACAAGCCCAAAGATTTTTTTTGGCCTGAAATTGAGGAACTAAGATGGGCTCAAATTTTAAAGAACAAAATTTACATTAACTGGAAATAAAATGGGTTCAGCGGAAGGAAGTGAAAATCATTGGGACAGAATAAATTTAGCCTTTATAATAAATGAAATATGATTTTTTTCACCAAAAAAATTATTTGTCAAAATTTTCTCCGAAAATGAAAATCCCTTGGGGAAAAAAATTTAGCCTTTATAATAAATGGAATATGATTTTTTTCACAAAAAAATCATTTTTCATAATCTTTTTATAAATTACAAGTCCAAATTTAAGTCTTACTATTTTTTTATACACAGCAATAACTATATTATATTTTAAGAAAAATATTATAATATTTGGTCAATTATTACTGTTGATATATTTTGTTGATATGACTTGATTTATATTAATTTTTTTTATTATTAGAATTTATTATTCCTTTCTCTTGCATATATGAACTCATCTCATTTTATGATATATATATTATTCATTCCAATATTTTTCTCTCTCTGTATTTGTAACAATTAATAGTATTATTTACCATCTTTCCAATCTAATTATTTGTAAAAAAATTATAATTAGGTCTTCCTTTTTTGAAATGTGTTTTAAATGCTAGCTATAGTATACATAATATTCATTCTAATATTTTCTCTCTCTGTATTTATGACAAATAATAGTATTATTTACCATCTTTCTAATATATTTATTTCTAAAATTCTTTAATTAAGTCTTTCTTTTTCTTTTTTTTGAAATATTCTTTGAATGCTAGTTATGGTGGACTAACTTTAAAAAAAAAAACAAAAAAGAAGCAACTTTTTTTATTTAAATATGGTTCTAATTCTTATTTATTAGTAATTTATTAAATATACTTTAGTTTATGATTGCCAACCTTAACTAATGTTTGCTGAATCAAACTGTATGATTTTGTAAAGTGTTATTAATATTAATTTTTCAAATTAATATGTTATTATATGGTCTATCAAATATCAATTCAATTTTTCAAATATGATTTGAAAGAATTTGATATTCTTGGGTTTAAAAATGCCCATATCATTTCTTAAAAAAATAAGATATGTATATATAATATAATATTGACTGGATCAAATTACATGAAAATGTGGGTAAAAAAGAAGAAGAATATTGTCATGAATAAATTATAAAAGGTGATACTTAGGATTCATACATTTCAAACATTATAACAAGCACTGCTATGAATTACTATAAAGTATAATGAAATTATTAAGCAATTTGTTTAATTAACAGGAGTTGTAAATTCTTATTTAAAAGTGTCAAGTCCGAATCTTAAAAATATGACTGTGTTAAATATTTGGTTGGAGAATTTTATTATTCTTTATAGTTTTATCAAACTCAACATTTCGTGATATTGTTTTACATCATTTTTTATAGATATTTGATTTACACCCATTATATTCTTTGTATATTTATTCTCTCAAGATCAATAAAATTCAATTTTGTCTCTCCCATTCATGATTTTGTAGTATCTGTTTTCTCTCAATTACCTAATATTTTAGAGGAAACAAAATTAACTTTAACTAATACTTCAAATTTCCGACAGAATTAGCCGCAGAACATGCTTGTCATAAATTTTCTGATGAAATTTGTCATGAATTTCCAACGAAATTTTTTCATGACTAATCCGCTGGAGAATAAAATTAGTGACAAAATTTTTTGGGAAAATTGGGAGAAATATCCCATTAAGAAATTAATTGGCAAATGGGACATAGGAAGATCAGTTGCACACTACAGAAAATCAATTACACATACATGAAAAATCAATTGCACACACATAAAAGATCAGTTGCACAAAAATAGAAGATTACTTGAACACAGTGGAAGTTCACTTGCACAAAGTCCTTAGATCCCATTTGTCAATTAATTTCTCAATGGGGTATTTATCACCAATTTTTCCAAAATTTTTTGTTGGAAATTCAGTTAGTAATTTTACCAACAAAATCTGTTACGGATTTTTGACGAAAAAAATGTCGTCAGTGATTGAGTATTTTTTTCAGGGAACCATCAAATCACAGACAACAAACTAACCACCGCACAACACCAATCAACTAACCCCTTCCCTTTATAGTGCCATGCGCTAAATTTATAGTTTCATTAAGACTACTGGCGCACATAACCATTAAAAACCTGATTTATGACTCTTTTGCACCGGAAATGAAATGAGAAGATATACTGTGTATGAGTGTGTGTGTTCTCAGGCAAACAAGTAATACCTCCGGTTCTAATTATAAGAGTCAATTGACTAATTTGAGGAAATTGAGGAAACAAGTTGAGTTAGTTATTTGTCCTAAATATGTGTTGTATTTTCTAAAATATCTTTGCTAATCAAGTGTATTAACTAGAACTATAATTATTAGAGGGATTATCTTGAAACAAATTGAGTAAATATAAAAGACAAAGTGAATTAGGGTCTTATATTTATAATCAAAATAAAAATCAAACAGGGTCTTATATTAAGGACCGGAAGTAGTAATTAATTTATGGAACGGTCACTCAGAATTTATTTAAGTTTGTAATGTTAGAGAACTCATATTTTCCAACACATCGTAAATCTATTTGTGCGTCATCGCAAGATATGGCCTCCCAGTTGGCCGGTGATGATATAAAACATGTTATACCTAGCTATTAAGATTTTGGCTGTCCAATCCAAGCACTAGAAGGTCTTCATCGTCGCCATCATGCTGCATCTCCATCATCAATCCCATAGACCCACACCTACAACAAGACCACCCGGCGACGCATTCAATAGTTTTGGCTGTGAGGGCAACAACATAGACACATACTTTTTCACTTTTCTTTTTTCTTTTTGCCATCACACTATCACTATTAACAGTAGGATATATATAATATATATATATATATATCATTTAACTCCTCATATTCTTAATGTAAAACCTAATTAGAGAGCTGACATTAGTCCTATATGGAAGATTTATTTTACAAGTTTATCAATTTTTTTCTAAATTAACTCCATTAATATTTTTAACAATAATTAAGTATGAGAGTAAGAGAGAAATTAAAGAAGATACCTAGGGTGTTTTAGAAAAAAATATCATATTAACTAGTTTAACCAATATCTTTAATCAATTTAAATTAGTTAATTAAATCTTATATTAAGAATTAGAAAAATAATTACTATTTACGAGGTTTGGTATTTTGACAAAAAATCACGACAAAGGACATTAAACCTAGACTTGAACACAATGGGGATTTTCGGTGTGACCAACATCATACTATATCAATCTTTAATATAAGAGCTAATTGATAAATTTAAGTAAATTAAAAAAATTAGTTAACTTAATTACTTGTAATAAATATGTGTTATCTTTCCTAAAATACTATTGCTAATCATATATGTTAGCTAAAACTATTATTTGATGAAACATTTGATATGTACAACTATTACAAAGATTAGACGAAATATATTAAAATTTTATATTTAGAATTAAATTCACTATCAAACTACCTTTTTATATTAGGAATGAGGCGCAGGTAGTATATCACAATCCGGATATGATCAAAATATGAATGGGTCTTTGCCTTATCAATGACACAGAAGCTTCAAATTTCTCTATCCTACATCTCTTCATCTCTATAAGTTTTAGCGCCAAATCCTTGACCAGGATTCCAAATGTTATTGAACTCAGTTGGAGTTCACAAAAGCTTAGGGAAAATACCAAGGGAAGATTGTATTAAAATACCGAATTAAATATAAAAAATTAACAAAGATCTCATTGTAAAAAATTTCACTTGATCAGTTATTAAATTATCCTCATTTTTTTAAGCATGTATCGATAGCTGAAAAGGCAGTTGTTAACAAGCTAATATGCAATGATTAACAACTATTACGGCGGGTATTAACAACTCATGTATTAAATCTTTGTGAGGGGTTGAAAAAATGTGTTGTTAATACCTGTCACAATAGTTGCTAATCACTGCACCTTAAATTATTAACAACTGCTTTTTTAATTGTCAATGCATACTTAAAAAAAAGGAGAACAATTTAGTAACTGAAAAAAAATTTATTGCAATGAAGTTTCTTAAAACTTTAAATTAATTTGATGGTTTTCAATTTTTTTTATATTTAATTTTTTTAATGTGACCGTAATGCAATTTTTTCAAAATCTAACATAGTGATTAGTGAACAGAGTTTTACGTGCCTAACGATTTGTGATGATTTTACATTTTGGCCACCGATCAATAATGATTTGACGATGTAACCCTTCATGCGTTTATTTTCTTATGATTTAACGAAGTGTTAAAATTATTTTAAGTATCCGCACTTTGCACAATAATTTGTCGGATGTTTCTCAGTAAAAAGAAAAAAAGAAAAGAATTGCATGTGCTTTTTTCAGTTTTTCCTAAATTTTTCACTCATTTTTTTTAGGCATTTCAAATGGCAGGAGATAATTACGGCGTTCTGTTTATCGCAGCAACGTATATAAGATCCAATTGGAACCAGATTCTCTTGACAGAAAGGCGAAAATGGTGGCAATTTCGCTCTACAGGGGGAATCTGCACAGAGTTCCCGACGGTTCTCGCCGATGGCTAATGCCAAACCCTAAAATTTCTCTCAAAGATTTCAAGTCCCTTCTACTGCGTCGTTCCAAGTCCCTCTCTCGCCTTCGTACCATCATCACCACCTCCAATCCGAACTCAAGCCGTAGCCCTAACCCTAGCCCTAACTCTCCCCCTAAAGCTCAAACTGAGGCTCCTGCTGTTGATGGGTCTATTCTTCCTGTTCAACCTGAAGCTATAAAGGTCAGTGAGAATGAAGAGGGGCCTTCACGGCAGGACAAAGATCACAAAGAATCTGAACTTGTTGGTCCTTCTTTCAAGAAACCGGAGGCGGGGACTGATTCTTTTGTAGATTCCAAGATTAAAGTACCGGAGAAAGTTTTGGAATCTGTCAATGGTGGTGCGACTTCAACGAAAAATCAGATAGTGCTGGTAAGCTTCCCTGTTGGAGCTTATAAAAAGCGTATTATATCTTCATGAGTCCCTTCTTTGCTCTGACTTTGTGACTCAACTCGCTTAATTCAAGCGATTCTGGACGTACACGCTATGCTTTTACCGTTGAAATCAAGCTTATTTGTTCACCATTCCTAAGTGTTTTGTGGCAGATCAGAGACAAAGGGGATTTGTCAAGTGAGAAAGAGAAAAGGAGGCAGGAAGTTGAGGATAAGTTACAAGTTCTGAATGGGAAGAAACATAATTTGGTACTAGTGTTGAAACAGGTGAGCTCGAGCTCTGGTTTTGCCATCTGACCGAAGAGTCAAATGGGAATGCACGAAAGAAACCATATTGTTGTATTGATTTCGAAGAATGCACTTTTTATTTATACATAAATTACATATCACACATAGTGCGTAAACTGAATTAACTAATTTCTGTTATGTACATGGCAAACTCAACTATTTTTAAGTTATGGCTGACACTATCTTTTCGTGTTTGCTGGGCACTAGAATATTCAGACCTTATGTTCTCAATGTGTGATTCTGCATTTTTCCTTCTAGGATGTGGTTTAGTTCTTTACTTGCGCCCCACTAATTAAATATCGGATGTGGTGGTTGGCAGATATTAAATGCAGAGGAAGAGTTGAAAAGACAAAGCAGTATGCAAGGGACTGCTATGCGCCCTTCCGTGACACTTCAAGCAGATGGGACAAATGATACTGGATCAATAGGTAAACACGGTGCTCCAAGGATCAGTTCAGAAGCAAACCTAGGTGATGATGTGGAAGGGGTTGCAGCTGATGATATTCCAAATCATAATATCCCTTCTCGCCACATGCTTCGTACGAGTAGCATGTCACCTTCTTCAGAGTCACCTCTTAGGAGGACTCCTACTGTTCAACAAAATGCGGTAATTTATCTTTCTTAGTACAGACAGTCAAGCTGCAACTGCGTTCCAGTTAATCTGTTTGAGGATCTTCTGATTTATACACATGCATGCTATCCTATACTTGTTATTGGAGTTTCTGACGTGAATATATGAAAATGTGAGTTACATGGTGCATGTAGGAGGGTCAATTATGGTGAAACTCATGTGAGTTGGTAGAGGTCCGAATTGCATTTGTGGTTGTACTTTGTGTACTCTACTTCCTATTATATCCTGCTACCTCCAGTCCTAATTATAAGATCTCATTTGTAGATGGGATCTTATAATTAGGACCGGAGGTAGTACATTCCAGTAATGCCGCAAAGCATAACAAAGAATATAGCATGCATCTGGTGTATTCTATTGTTCTGGCATTTCTTGGTTGTCTAGAGTGCAGCTTCACCATAAACCAAACTAAAATTATTATCCATGTTCGTGTGCATATGTATGTATCTTTCTGTATTTCATGTTGGACTATATGCAACTGCTTGATGGCAGTTTACTGAACAAATAAGTAATGGTTATCTGTAATGGAGTGGCTAATTTGAACCCATAAACACACACTTCCCTTTTGTCTGATCATACGTGTAGATATCAATGTTTTATTGTTATATTTTCTGCGAAGGTTCCACATCCATCTCGGGCAGGCTTGGGTACTACGGCTAGTCCATCCCGCTTTGCACTGTCAGGACATCAAACGAATCCCGTGAACCCACCTTCAGTATCTGCATCAGGAGCAAGTTACATTGCATCATCCCCTTCTCCAGCAGCATCTGGTGGCACTTCCGTTTTCAGAGATGCTCGGCAGACAAGCCCCTGGAACTAGGACTTTGGTTTGAAACTTGGAGACCTTATTTCTGTATCCTCATGGTGTGTAATCAGCATTTCCCTACGGGGGAAATGGGGGAGAGGGGAGGGGAGAGAAAATTTTCATGAACTTGATTTGAAAAATTGAAGAAGTGGGGTTATAAAATTTTAATTAAAAAAATAAAATAAAAGAGTAATAAAAATTAATCAAAAGCTTTTAACCCCATTTATTCAACTTTTCATATTAAGTTCATCAAAATTTTTCCTCTCTTCCATTTTTCTTGTACCAAACCAGCCATAAGTCTAGCCATACCTGTGTCTTAGAAGTGAGAATCCTCTGCATTATTTAGCTTCCCCACTTCTTCTCATGGGACTGTAAAAAATACAAGATCAATCCAATACTTGTTAAAAGTCGCTGTATCATGCCGTTTCACCTATGAACTCATGTCAAATTAGATGTTGGCATGTTGTAGACCTATGTTGTACATTACTATGGAAAATAGGAAGATGTATCTTGGCGTTGGCCTCTTTCCAGTATGAGGTTTTTTTTTTGGGGGGGGGGGGATTTTTCGCCACGGAGTTTATTACCAGAATTTTGAAGTACACAATAATTGTTTGCAAATAAGTTCAGAATATAATGGACGCATGCACATCATCCCAAAATTAATTTGTATTTACGAGAAATTAACGTGTATATGCACACACTTGTATGTGTATGCTCATACATGCCAGTTCTCTTTGTAGGCCTCTCTTCCTTTTGGTAGCAAATGAGTGTAAAGTTATAAGAACATTAAAATCTCAAGCAACGAAAATAAGTGACTTAGAAATTATTTTTTAGTATTATGTTAAATTTCAAATGGAAAGTTAAATAACAAAAAATAATTCGGTGAAAATGTTATTTATACTTGACATGACGCGGTGAATAATATACTAGAAGATAATTGGTTTGACTTGATACAAATGTTAAGTTTTCCCAAGCTTAATTGGATGTTCAGGTGGTTTTTTCAATTAATAAAAGTATTAATAGCTTGAGATTACAAATGGGATTAAACACGCAACTTTCCATTAAATGGCAGATGTTTGAGGAGTTGCTGCATCTCTTTGCGCTTGGAACCTCTCCTCTTTACCACCGTCTCATTGCATGCACAATTTTTCCCCTAACGTTACAGGACATGTGGCTGCTGCTGCTGTCATAATTATTATGGCTAAATCAAAGAAGGACGAAGCCCAACACTTAAAGAACTCGGGGGGACGATGAGGAAATTTGAATAGCCTGGCTTTTCTGTCTGATTGGCACGTTGACGACGAGGACAATTCTTCGAGAAAGTCCTAGGAGGTAATAACTAGCAACTAAAACAGCTCGGAAAGCAGCGTTTCTTATCATCGAAGGGCGCTTCATATGAGTAAGGTAAGTTATTGGTCTCATTCAATACAAATCTTACGGAAAGCATACCGTGAACGACCAAAAACAAAAACTGAGATGCTCACTCTTCATCACTCGATAAAACAAATACATCAGTCCTTCACGGACAGCTCCAGATTCAGATCCTCTAGCGCCTAAACTGGAAGGGACCATGAAACTTTGATCTATTGAAGAGTGCAGATCCAAAATGAAGTTGTTTGGGTTCAATTTCGAAGTCCAGTGTCATAGCTTCATTCTGGAAATATTAGATGAATAAATAGACTGAAGATGGACCCCCCCCCCCCAAAAAAAAAAGCCCCGGGGGCCGGGGAGGAAAAGGAAAAAAATGAAACGAATAAACTCACTCAGGAACATCTATCCAAGGCAGCTGCACTAATGGGAATCACGCCAGCTGGTGACACAAGTGCATCAACCGGAACATCAGATGAAGTCATTGGTATGACTCCTTCATCCAATATTTGCTCAGAGTATGACAGGGCAACTGCAAATCAAAAGCCAGAATGAGTGGTCCTGTTAAATTTTGCAGACTGATTCTAAAATCAATCATCTAGCTAATTCTAGAAAGGAAAATGCGCACCAAATAGGGGTTGCTCCCAGTTCCGTGCCTTTGCAAGATCTTGGTAGTTCTTCAGAAAGTTATCATAGTATCTGCATGGTAAAACATTATGTGACCAACCGTTGAAATAAGATTAGCGTTTCTGACTATACATAAGAAGTGAAACGTCCAAGATTAAGCTATAAAGTTTGTGAGATTGATACTTCTCTTGCAGGCAAATAAGTTGGTTCACCAAGTAGAGTTTCAACAATAGTCAGTATTGAAAAAAAGACCAAACGATATTTCATCCGTCTCAAATGTTTCACCCAACCGAGACATTCATACGAAACAGATTGAAGTGCTAAGGCAGGAGAAAAGGTTAAATAAGTACCCTCCGCCACGGCCTAAACGTTTTCCAGATTTATCAAATGCAAGTCCTAGGAAAAGAAACAAGTAATTAGCTATTTTCAGGTTCAGATGATAGTAATTGTTATTAAATAAAAACACAAGAAGTTACCAGGTAAAAGGAACAGATCGACTGGTTCATTAGCCTGCATAACTGGCAGAGGAAGCAAAGAAAGAGAATCAAGAAGGCAAACAGGAAAAAGATATTTCATATAGGAAATTCCACGGACATGTGGAAAGGCTACTGTACTCGAGCCTAAAGGTGAATTAGAGCGGGAGAGATGCTAAAACTTCAAAGCAATTATTCAACTTGTGGGTGGGAGCAACTACCATCTTCACGCTCATTTCCCTCAGCATCTATGGGATCTGGTTCCAAAATGTCCATAGAGTTTGCAATGAGATCATCCATACGTGAGATATTAAGCATTCGCATGTGACTATTCTTATCCTCCACCCGAGGTACATAGAGTTTTCTTCCACCTGCATGATAACCAGCTTTAGTAACAATAAAATGTTGATGCTAAACTAGAATGAGAAGACTAACCCAGCCAGGTGAGAAGGGAAAGGGCAACATCCTGAAGCACGCCCAGACTATCTAGAATACTTAAACCTGGCAGGATAGCTCTCATAGAAACGCATATTGACTAAACAAATGGAGAAATTCCTTTAAATTTGACACAACAATGGAAGAGCTAGATTTTAAACAAATGGAGAAATTCATATGTATCGTGCTGAAGAAATGCATGAAAATTCCAACCGTATATACACAAGTTGCCAAAATGGATCCCTTGGACAATTTTCTCTCCCTCCTTAGCTATAGCATTATAAGGCAACAACAATAACCTGCTTTAACTGTTCAAAGTGTTATGCAGATCTCTGGGTGCATAATCACCATCCTCGAATAGAATATTATATGTTCAAAATTTAAATTAGTATCTGATGGATACCAACAAACAGCTGCCACCAAAAGTCCAAAACATATAGCAGGGGAAAATAATTCATAATGGAGCAACAGAGGACATAAAAGGGGGACCTACTGATCCAGAAGAGAGCATAAGGTTAAGAAACAGAGAAGGCAGACAACTACTGGCGTAACCGAGAGGACTCAAGATGATAAAACAAAACGGAGAAGTTAAAAAGCACTACCTCTGCGCCTATTTGTCACAGTTAAAAGTTATAGTTAAATTTTAACCATAACTTGTATTTTATAAATAGGCTCGGAGCTAGTAGTTTAATCCCATGTAAAGGAAAATCTGAGAAAGGAGTGATTTTGGATCTAGTTTTTCGTGGAAAAGTAAATCTCTTGAAACGTGGCATATGTTGCTCCTCTTTTACCATATTGATGTTACTGTTTATTTTTGTGCCTTGTGTGTCGCTGTGACTGTGTGTTTCCTCTGTCGTATTTGATTGAACAACTTTGTTGGCTTTAGAGTGTGACATAGTGTGGGAGTTTATTATACTATCATCTTGTCCAAGGAGAATCTTCCGTCTCAATATCATGGTTGGCAGTGACATTGAGATATCTCAGCAATATATAGCACATTTTTGTCGTATTATTGTAAATATTTTCAGTGTCCTATCAGTATCAAAACATGTCAATAGCTAAAGTTTGAAAATAAAAGTCATGACATACCATTGGCCGGATCTTGCAAAATGTGTGACAACAGCTTGGATGTATCAACTTCTCGCAAAGCACTGCAGCTTATATATGCGCATAATCTGTGACTTGATTTGAACCACGGAGCCCCCAAAATTATATTTTGAATTTCATTATCTAGGGAAAAAAGTAGAACATTAAAAAATTAATGCGAACTTCGATTTTTCATAATAAGGAGTCAAAGAATACTTCTTCAATTAAGTGTTTTAAGATGTTAACAAGACAAAAGCAAGTGAAAAATTCATTTCCCCCCTACAATGCATACGCAGCCTAATATTTGAGCTGCCGCGCGAAAAGAAAAGCTTCGTCAAGAATAACAAGAACGTTTTTCAGAGTTTTGATCTCTGAATAACTGCAATTATCTTTACCTCTCTGACACTGACCCAACTTCTCGTATAGCCTCCTCTTGTTTCTAACTAACAAATAATGCTCCCACATGGGAACTTCACTGCTGAAAGTTATTCTAGCAAGCCAATAACTCAAGTGTTTATTTATATGTTTGGCCTTCGCTCCAAATTAGAGATCCAGAAATAGACCAATGAGCTCTGGCCAAGTCATCTCAGAAGTAATAATAGAGCGACTACCTTGGTGGGATCTGAGGGAGGGATCCATGGCCTTGAGGGTCTTTCGGACCTGCGTTCTGAGCAGCCGCTTCTGCTTGAATATGGCGTCAAGTTCATCTGAGTGGCCGCCGCTGGTCGCCATAGTCAACGCCGCCGCCGCGCCAAGTAACTGTAAAGAAGATGAACGATGAATACAGATGCGATAGCGCGCGCACAGAGCCTTCGTCGCTATTGCCTTCGCCTCAGCATTCAGCAATCATCTGCGTCCCGGCGTCCCCTCTTTTTTTCCTTTAGAATACACACATGGTTACACTAGCCTCCCTTCAGTCCCTCAACTCCGCTCAGCTCGCAATTCTTAATTAATAAATATTAAGCTTCAATTAAAAGATATTAACCATTAAATAATGATTTAACAGTGTTGAAAGAAGGTTTACCATTAAAAAATTTTATTTTTAAATAAATTGATACTTCATAATCTAATAATTATTATCTCGTTTATACTAAGACTCAATTAAAAATATGAATGATTCAAATCCGATTTTTCTCATTCCCTGTTCTATTGTTTGTTCTCTTCAACTTCACCTCTCAGTTCAGGCGAAGAAAAAAGGCTTCGCTTCTCAATATGTTTTTTCATTTAACATCAGGAATCTGTGTTTTTTTCATTCTTTCATAACTCTATAATCCTGCTGATTTTTTTTTTTGTATGAACAAAGAATACTTATTCCACGGGGAAAAAAAGGAATACTTATTCCGGTTTTCTCATTTATAATTTTCAAAAATGATTAATTAGATGAAGAATTCATTGCCTCGACATTAGATATTAACTTTTTATTTTTGTGAGAAATTAAATAACTTTCTATGGTTTATGTATGCTGCAGGATTAATTTAGGTTAAATAAAAACATATGTTTCGTGTCAACTGAACTGCAGATGTAAGATTCTGACGGAGAATCTGCTAGTTTTGTGAAAAGCCAAGAAGGTTTTAGACTGTAAGCTAGATGGAGCTTCTTCTTCAGGGTAAGTTGTTAGCAAACTCGATTTTCAAAAGTGCTAGATAAACAGAAAAGGTTAGAAACACATGAAACTGTCAAAATAAAAATCATATAAACAACCAAATCTAGTCATATTTGTCCATTTGATCCTAGTGAAGATATAACCAGAAGCCTAGTGATGTAATATTCAGAGAAACGTTATCAGGCTTTACAGTACATGCTTTGTAAGTTTCGAGTGCAACACCTCTAGTTTCAGAGACATTACAGAGAAAAACAGAGAGGAGGAGGAATTTGCTATTAACATCATATCTATCCAAGCTTCTTATACCTGACCTTCCCCCTTGGCAAGCACTCTGGTCTCAGACTCTCAAGTCTCCATGACCAGTGGCAGTGAGACTCTGAGCTGCCTCTTTTAAAATTTCTGCATATAATAACTTTCTTCCATTACACTCAAAGAGAGTCGATTACCATCAGAACAGGTAGGATCACAAAGATGGTGGACATGCAAGGTCCACCTCTGTATATGCCTTAGGGGATGTCTTGGGAGAATTCATTACAAGGTGCCGGAGCTTCTCTAGATTCTCTGATATGGCTGTCAAAATTTCGGATTCTTCGCTTTGTTCTTCATGCTGCTTGCCAACAAGCTCTAAAAACCTACTGTCTGCTTCAAGAGCCTTCACAATATCAGTAAGTGATGTCAAGGAGGCTTCACTTGCTTTATCTGCAGCATCAAGAAAAAAAGATTGTAACTTCGTGATGCTATTATAAGAATGGTGGAAATATGTTGTAAAAGGCATGTTATGTTTTATGTTACCTGTCCCATTTTCTACAACGCTTGTACTGTCAGAAGTACATGGTGGGAACTGAAACCCATTGTCTACTATGTGATTTCTAGTATCCAGTTTCTTTATCCGGTTTAGAAGATGTGATTTGTCCCCTTTTATGTCTCTAAGTGACTCGCTTGGCCTTGCCCCGCCACTATCCGCCTGAGCTGACATTGCTTGATGAAATTTGTGGCCTTTTTCTCCATTATCCTCACCTTCACTGAAGATGGGAGGAGAGCCCATGCTTCCATGATGAGATAAGTAAGGCTGAAATCTGAACTCCTGGGAATCTTCATGTAGATCTCTCATTAAATCCTTAAAATCATCTTCTGATAAGCACCCATATTTCTCTCTGTACATGGCCAATTCAGCCTCTAGAGCTTTGATTTCATCCTCTCTTCTTATAAGCATCTCACTAGCTGCTTGCAGGGCTTCTTCATCGTACTCTGCCTGTTCCTCCATCATTCTCTGGTACTGCAAAGCTTCCATCTGCACGGCAGCCTTCTCCGCCTGCAATCGTGTGATCATTGCCATTGCATTGTTAGCAGCAACAGCTGAAGCGCTTCTTTCTTCATCGAGCTCCATGTACAAAGCCATGAGTGACTTGCGATCCAAGCGAACACGTCTCTTCAAATGGTTCAAGATGGCATCCTCTGCTTCAAAATGACCTTGCCCCTCAGTGGATTCACCAGATGCGGATTTCCTATTGGGTTTGAATGACCATGATCTGGGGATATAGTTTGCAGCATCTGCAAGCGGAATCCCAAAGAACTTGTTGCCCCTCATAAAAGTTGGGGTTTTGTTCAGTTCCTCCTCACCTTCTGTCCCAGAAGCAGCTCTCAAATCTTCCTTTGCTGCATCGAAAATCAAAATACTTTATTTGACATCCTAGTTATTGAAGATTATACAGAGAAATATTCATTAGCCGTCACAGCTTAAACTTTCTTATCACATCAGATTCATATTTCATACTTCATACTTACATTTGATATCTTGACTATGATTCCCATGATAGCCATCTACATCTTCAGTGGCTTCTGAATCACTAATCTTGGTGTCTGCCAATCGGAATTTTGGGGTTTGAGGTAATTCAAAACCACGAGATTCCTCAGTCCTCGATGTTGCATGAGGATGAGCTCGAGGTGAAGGAGTAGGAGCGTGTGAGGAAACAATTTTCCCTTTAGGATAAGAAGATTTTGCCCTTAATGGCTTCCCACAGCACGAACACTTTTGCGTACTGCTTTTCTCTAGGGGCATACCATCATCTCTCAAGCTCAGTTGAATCTGCTGGTCATCCTCAACGAAGCATTCCAGATCCTTGTGGAGAATCCCAACAAGAGATTTGTACGTATCGCAATCCGATTCTTTTTCTGTGGCGAAGGAAAGGAGGCAGCTTTCGCACATCTTCTTAATATCGGAGAGTTTCCTGTGATTGTGGCAAAACGCCAAACATGAGACATCCTTCTTGTGGGACTCACAAATGGAATCATTGTAATAGAAATCTGGGTTCCTGTGAACCAAAACGTGGTCGAGTCTGGTGCAAAGCAAGCACGGAATCCTCAGCTCGAAGAACCTGGCGAACTCATTGGCGGCAAATGCAAGAAGCCCATCGATAAAAAGCAAGATTATCAAAACCCATTCGAGCACAGCGAAGATCATGAAGTGCGGAATCTTTCCCATTTCTTCCTCGACGTAACGACTAAAGGAGCGAGTAGCCATGTTCCGCTCTACGATAACTTTTTTCTGTTTGTGGGAGATTATCCTTGTCCTTTGCGGACCCAATGAAGCGAAGAAACAGAAAAACGAAGAATTTTCTGATCTAAGGTGGTAATGGCGGTGGGGGGAGAAGGAAATGATGAGAAAAAGATAGAAAAAAGAGGAAGAGGTTAAGCAGCCTCAGAAGGTAGCGACAGGGAAGAAGAGCATGACCTTGCTGGGACAAAATGGAAATGGAAGGAAGGAAGGAAGGAAGGAGATTGCGTCCTCTCTTTCTCTCTCTGTTTCTTTCTCTCCCTCTCCTTGTAAGAAAAGAGAAGAAAGATATGTTACAAAACAAAAGAGGGTCCTCAGAGTTTGGGCGTTCGAACTCTGTTTCGCCATAAATAGAAACATCCTCTGCAAAAAAACGATGGTGTCAAGGCGCGCTTTTACCTGAAATAACGCTCGATCGCGCGCTTTATCTGTTTCGCTTGCAATGCGACAGCGACCAACTGCATATACGGTGTCGTTTCCATTTTTTCCCCCCGAAAAGTATCATTCGATTTTTTTTTGGGGGGGGGGGGGTTGTTTTATGCTAGACATTTAGGCCTGTCCTTCTGAAATTTCAGTTTATCCCTTGTAGTCAAGTTGTTTTTCAAATAGTTCAAGGTCAAAAAAGAAATTACAGTAGAAAAAAAAAGTCGAAGTCCATACCGGCTAATAAGTATTTAACATATATATAGAAAATTAAATGTAGGTAAGAAATTAAGTTTTTTAAATTATAAAATTATAAGAAAATTATAAAAATCATTCTGTGATTTATCTATTATATAATGGAGAAATTACACGGATATGTTGTAAAATTTGTCTTAATTGCATTTGATACCATTCTTATTTTAAAAATGGCATTTAATATTTTTTAATATATTATATATGTATTGAAGAATATTTTATCATTCATTTTCTAATAGTTGATGTACCTTTACTAACAATAAGATATCGTGATTTTGTTATTTATATCATACTAGCGTCAACTAAATTGCTATTGAAATTTCTAATTTTAATTTGATATATAATTTTAACTGGGAAGTCATTTTAATCACTTCTTCACGAATAGCTATATTTTACTTTCATTAATTGCTAGTACTAAAGCTCTTTTAGGAAATTTATGGTACAAGAGAATTAGTTATTATTATAAAAAATAGATATCTTAAGCTCAAAAAAAAAAAAAAACACCAAGCTTATTCTTACTACCCTTGACCGAATTTTAGACAACTCTTTAACACTTGGGTAGGTTATATTTTTTTTTTTTAATAAAATAAGTTTTTTTACACTGAATATATCAAATCAAATCAAAATATCAATATATATTTCTTCAAATCTTGTAAGAGACTTCTGATTGATCCAATAAAGATGGGTCTAAATTAATTTTAAAAAATCATTTCTTACCCACACCTCTTTTTATTGCCTCGCCGCTGTTGTTAACGTGAAAACGCATTCCCCCATCTAACAACTGTACATCCTTCAATTTAATTAAAAATTTTATTATTAAAAAAAAGATAATACTTACATCAAGTTGTTTATATTTATTATATCAAGGTCTCTAATCATATATGATTATGTGTCTTATTTTTGAAATAATAGCCTTTGATAACATTTAATTATAAATCAACATGAAACCAAAAAAAAAAAAAATTCATGACTATGTATGATTAGAAAACTTGATATAATAAATATAAGCAACTTGACCTAAATTTTTTCCATTTATATATATAGTGGCATCGTAATGTTGAATTTCTGGGGCTGGCTCCTAAGTGCACTTTCTTCATTATTATTGTTGTTTATTTATTAATCTCTCTTGTCCTAAATATGATGTTCTCTTTAACTACTCGCAAAATTTTAAAAGAAATTCTTAAGATAGTTATATGACAACTAAAAGTTAAACCAAATTTAGAAATTCCTAGAACAAAGTCTATTTTCTTCCTTTTTACTACACAGTCATGTTTATCTATAAAACAATCAACCAAAACCAGCCGGAAAGGACGAATGCTAAAGCAAGTTTTACTTTATACACCCTTTTCCCCATTACCTTTCGGTTCCTCTGTAAAGTCAAAAGGATGTTTATATCTTCCAAGGGAAAAAACTACAAGCTTAGCTAGTGGTCAAAGCATTTGTAGTCATGTAAGGTGATATGCATCCCTGGACCTGAAAACATGTCATATTTTGAATGACAAAATTAGGCATTACATCATGTTTACACTGTACAGTAAAACAAAAATGGTCAAAAGGGATACTTTTGGTGCCCCCTTAGTCCCATAGGCATTATATTCAAAGCAGCAAGAAAACCAAAGAGAGAAAAAAGAAAACAGTATGATTGCACTTTGAGAAGGTAGCTTTTGCTCATGATTTTATCAAACCATCTCAAGAAGTAGAAGAATATGAGAGGATCTCTTACCTGCAATAAGCAAGTAGGAATTTGAATATGACCCTGTAGTAAGAGGTTGACCTTTTGAAGAGAACTCAGTGGCACAGGTGTAATCACATAGAGCACGCCTTTAAACACGTCAATGCCTCTTACAATTCCTGAATTATAAAAGTTGTAGAAACATTTATATTATGACTACTTAATACTTTTATTAAGCAACACCCAGATACATAGAAAACACAAAACGAGAAGGTTGTGGGGCCTGTGCTAATCACTAAAGAAACAACTCCAGAGAAACAACTAACCCAAAAGGTTAGAAAGGAAAGAATAAATAGCTCCAGAGAAACTTTTTTTTTTCCCCACTCATTATGATCTTACATTTGAGGGCGGACCCTTAAGATGTACTAAACTTAAGTTTCCTTTACAAAATCAGGAGATACTGATAAACATATTCCAACCAACTGAAGAATGACTTTGATGGAGTAACCCCATATGCATATTCCTTTGAAAATTTATTTTTGCATGGCACATGGCCATCAAAAGTTTGTGAGCTGATATGAAGCGCACAGTCAAATTAATCTCAGGATCAGCATCAAAATAAGCTTATCCCTTCTCAGTTCACTAAATCTCAAATTATAAAAATTGCTTTAGAATTATAAAATTTATAATAAAAAAAGAAAAGAAAAAGAAACCAGTGACGCCTTGAGTCATTTTGCAATTCTACTGCAACCAAAATTGCTTTCAAAAATCCTAAACTGTAAGTTAGCACTTGGCAGCACCATAGTTATGACCCCAAAAAAAAAAAAAAAAGCTATCTAACTGTAGAGATAGGCAGAGTGAGAAAAGTTTGTGGAGTAACCTACCAAGACCAACACACCAAGGAAATTTTCCGGAATCCTCAGAATCAACAGCTAAGCCAACAATGCTAGCATTCAAACTGTAGAATGAGTCAGAGCTTGGAACCTAGAAAAATTTAGTTACAATATGAATATATACCTCATACCATAATACAATCCATATAAGCGGTGCTATGGAAAATCTTAATGAGCAAATATTAAGTAAATTCAAAACGCTAAAATTCACGATGGTTTTGGTGTGTAACACGTCAAATGCATAGAATTAGCAGAAGCTGCAGAACACCATCAGACAGGCTAATAACAAATTTGAACCTACCACGGATTGAAGATGTTGAATCTTAACGTTTGCAATGGGAACTTCAAAAGGACGGTGAGATGCCAGGGCACGAGCAAGCTCCTTGATTGTATAAATATTCCAATCCCTAGGAAAGCACTGTCTAAAATAACTCAGGATTCGCATATCTCGCAAGAGATGTGCATCCTTCCGAATAAGCACCCTGGGAAAATAAATAAGAAAAGGATATTTCATGATAATACAAATGCAGATGAAGTCACCCATTATGTATGATAAATGTAATTTGCTTCTTTCAAACACAATGAATGAATAAAAATAAAACAATCTGCATTAGGTAAGATTCTCATCAGATTTGGACTTACGATCTATTTAATGAATCCCGAAGAGCTGAATTTATCTCAATTATGTTGACTCTGTCATCATGTTCCCCATCGACCCAGAATGCTCCAGCAGGTAGATTCTTATTTTCAGCATGTATGTTCATTTTAACAACGTGTGTTGGAGCAATATATTTCAACATGTCCACTAATAGGTCATAACCAGCACCTAGAATGCAACGATAATTCAGACATCACAAGCACCATCATAGAGAATATTATTCCAAGAAACACTCAGATCTTTAGTAAAAATGTAAAGGCAAGATTCAAAATAAACTTAACACTGTAAGAGGAATGAGATTACCTTTCACCCAGCCTGGAGTATTCACGATAAGAGGCAGCTCTTTCATTGGAGGATTTTCTCCCTTATCAGACATGCGATATTCCGTCTGATAATAATCACAGATGACTAATGCATAATTCAAGTACGTAGATGGTGCACTTTTAGAGGAAATATCACCAAAGAAAAGGCACCTGCGAAAGAATAAACGAAAGATAGTTAGTCAACCAACCCCATCACAAATAAATAAATCTTTGCTTGAATTGATGAAACTTACATGATCATACATATACATAAAAAAAAACAGATAGTATAAGATCAACTACTCCATTTTCTTTAAAACATTTCACAATTATGGAATAGAACAAAAGAACAAGTGAAGAAGAAGAACACCTAAGACCTAAGAGCACCTGTAAGACATATAAATCACCTTTGAGATGTCATGTATGAAGCAAGATCATGTGAACAGGTAGCAATAATACATAACGTTATTGCTAGTTCTTTGAATATGATAAATATTATTTCACGGCTCAGATAGTTAAATTTAACAAGGAAAGCACGCAATACTCCTATCAATTTAGTAATGCAATACAGCTCAAGTTTATGTGGTCCATCAAAATAACTTGTTTAATGAACCATAACAAGTGCGGCAGCTTTATCAAAGACTTCAAAGCAACATCAGAGAAAGAAATTGAATGTTAATGGTTCATTGTATCCAAAATGATTAGGTGACAAAGCACTTCATACCTCTCTGGAGTTTTTAGGCATGGGGTCGTCATATCTACAAAACCAATTAGATAATCAGAGTCAATGTTTCAATTAGAAGTGCCTCTGATTGATTAATTAAATATTAAACAGCTCGAGATAACGAGAGATTGATAAGATAGATGGCATGACAGATAAGAAAGTAGATATCAATTTAATACCTGGAGTTACTTCATCAATTATGGTTAGTGAAAGAAAACCAGGAGGAGTAAATTCAGGCTGCCCAACATCTGTGTCTAAATAGGCTACTTTCCTGTATCTGCATACAAGAGTTGGGAAAAAACTACCATGAATTAAAAGAGCATGCTGTTTGCCACTCTCGTCCTGCCAAGAGTGAAAGCAAAAAAGAAAAGTAACTCAACAGAAAGAATAAACAGACCCTGGTAATTGGTACAAATAGTGGGCCCAGCGAGTAACAGTAATCTAAATGCAGATCAACTAGAGCATGTAGGATATCAACATCACACTCAAACACAATGAAGAACCTAATACAAAGAATCACCACAAAGCAATATTTCCATTTAACTAAAATAAGGGGGGAAAGAAACAATGCAATCCCGTTTAATCACCAACGAGGGGGAAAACAGCACATTCTAAATTAAACGAGCACGCATTCTTAAGTAGATGAAAAATCAACTACGCGTACCTCTGCAGTAGCACATTGAGAAGATAGCGAGAGAAGGTAGTCTTGCCGCAATTCTTTGGACCGCAAATAAAAGCAATAGGAGGCGGCGAAGTGGCTGAATCATATGCAATGGAATCAACAGCTTCAGACCATTCCTCCGGAATGTATATGTTAGGTGATGAATTCTCGTTGTCAGAAAGGGAAGCCATGTCCTCTCTCTCTCTCTCTCTCTCTCTCTCTGAGTCAAATTATCCGTGCGTGCAGTGTTTTTGCAGTTCACAAAATGAAAACCCTATGAGCTTCAAATACTACTTGTTGGTGAAATTATGGAATCAAACAAAGGCATGTTGATTTTGTGACCAACTTTTTTGAGATGCATGACCATACTGTAACGGACACTCTCCCGCAAAGATACATGCAGCCCACTCTGCTCCCGGTTTCCCAAGACCCGGACCGTCAATATGATCCAACGGCTTCAATGGACGCACCAATACCACTTACACTCTCACTTCTCTCTAAGTCCCTCCTACACACTCTCTCCACAGCTAGGGGTCACGCCGGGTGAGGTGAGGGTGGAGGCTGTTGTTGCGGCGCCGACACCTTCGCACCCCTTGGCGGTGACGATGCCGGGATCATTCAAGAAAGAGAAGAGCCCGTTCAAGGCAGCCAAGTTCCTGAACCTGCTGAGAGGTGCGGCCTGCTCGATAAAATCCGTATGCTTTGAAGGATGTTGTTGATAGCCAAAGGGTTCGTAAAAGCTTCGAACTTTGAAGCCGGTGTGGATCTTTCGGCGATAGAGATCAATTTGATGTCTCGCCCAACTTAATGAAATTAAGAAAACGCTTGGCAAGATGAAAAATTACTGCACTTTCTACAAAAACGAGATAGACTCATATATATTTATTTTGTATATCATAAAAATATTTTTAAAATTATAATTTGATTTTTATTTAAACACTTTTTAAGAATCAAGTATGGTTCAAATTTTTACTAGAAAAAGTGCGCATGTCCCTAATAAAAAAGATACATGTGTCTACTTAAACACCTTAGTTACTAACCAAAGGCTTGGAATTGCAAATCAATGTTCAATTGCCGACATTTAAAATCTGATTATGCTATTTATACTGTAACAAGCGGCTTACAACGTGATAAATTAATAAAAAAATATTTATATTTAGCATCCGATAATATCTCAAATAAAATTAACTCTAATAGAAATACATATCTCTTGTAAGAGAGAGAGAGAGAATCATATGGGAGTAAGTGATTAAATTCAGTTACTATGGAAAAGATTACAGTAAAAACAAAATAAAAATGGGGGATCAGTCCATCCAATAGTGAAGGGGAAAATGGCAACTGTGGTATGGACCTTATTAGGTCATCAACTTCAATTATAAACTTTGAATATTGAAATTTTACTGAGTGAGAATTAGGAAGCAATCTCACTCCTAGAATGAGTAGTCTAGTTTTCCTCCCGCAGCTAACTTCAAATTTAGTAGTCTTATTCACAGCTTATAAAATTAATCTAGATGTTTTGTTTCCTAACAATTAAACTACTAAAATTTTATGAAATTTTAAATAAATCCCTTGTACAACCTAAATAACCCGTTTGGAGATAGGATTAAAGCACTACTAGGGGGTAACAATGACACTATTAATTAATGGGCACAATTTTATTCTGCCCACAAAAAAAAAAAAAAAACAGTACAATGCCAGTATGCATTCAAACAACAAAAGGAAGAATATTACTTTTTGAAGTCATTTGTTTGCTCGATACTCCGTGAAACGGTAACATTAATATCAGTCCAAGACTGAATGGTGAGTAATTTTTGAATCATACACGTTCATGAAAACTTCAAACGCAAATCAAAGTCAAAACAGCACATCAAATTGAAATCATACATTTTTTCCCGACAAAAACGATTAGCCCATGGGAATTTTTTTTTTTTAATGAGTTGCCTATAGGAAACTTTATTAGTGCTTATTTGCGACAAAATCATATACCTATATATATATTTATGTAAGTTGAGATAAAATTCTTTTTACATATTTAACAAATTACAGTTAAAAAACTGTCTATTACAAATGTGTCATAAGTATACCTTTATCCAGGATGGAGTCATGATGTGATTGAGAAAAAAAGAAAAAGAAAAACAAAGCAAGACAATGACAATGAGTTGATTGATGTGATTGCTACTTAAACTCATGAGTTGATTGACCAATTTTGTTGCTTTTTTGTTTATAACCTGTAAAATCGTATCACCTAATTTTTGGACTTATACTGTACATGCAAATTCAATGAATTAATTGATGGAGTTTAACATTTTCATATTTTTAACTTACAAAGTAGTATTAACCTAGTTTTAAACTCGTATTGAACTCGCAAGTGGTTCGATATTTTTAACTTACAAAGTAGTATGAACCTAGTTTTAAACTCGTATTGAACTCGCAAGTGGTTCAATTAATCACGGTAAACTTGCTACTTTTTTTTTTTTACTGAGTTTAGTGAGTCAAAGTCCTGGATTGCAAAATATACAAAAGAACCCAATTTAAATAACAATTAAAAACAAAATACAAAAATGAGCATTAATGCAAAAATAAGAAAACACAAAAAGTAAGCTTTCTTATGTTTTTTATGATTCTAAATATAAAATCTTTGTACTAGTATGTATAAAAATCTTATATTTAAGACTAAAAGAGTATTAAAGTTAACCAAAGTGACAAAAGGCATCCAGTCCTATTAGGCATAGTTTGCGAGCCTCTTCAAGGCTCGGAATTCTTATCAACCTCTCTCTTACGCATAAGTTGGTCATTTTTCCATTCCTCTTAATTATATCATGGAAAAATAGAATATCTAGCCCAGGCGTCCATTCTTCATGATATCTGCTTAAGATTGTTACCCTGAATGCTACTTTCCGTTTTGCTCAAAAAAAAAAAAAGAATGCTACTTTCCGAAAATACTGGTATTAATTAGTGTCTGAAGTTGATTATTTCTAGGTACTCACTCAGTGAAATAGGAACCAAACACAAAACATATTTTTGAATTTTTGTCAACCTCTTCTTACCCATGCTCAACCGCGAAAAGGATATCGTTCTCATGGTTTCTCTTGAAAAGAGTCTTTTACTCAATTTTACTAAAATAAATTTAAATTTTGATGATCATAAAAAAATTTAACTCGAGTTTTGTCCCTATTCATTTTCTTTCTCCGCGTTCATTCTGCTAACAGAAGAAGCGTAAATAGTAAACACGTGATTTTTAATCTGTTACCAAGTAGCAAAAGGGTGTTTGAATAGTATGAGAAACACTTCTAAAAAGTATTTTTTCGTAAATCGTAATAAAATGTTTACATATTTATTTCGTATATTCTAAAATCATTTTTAAAATTATAATTTAGTTTTCATCCAAATACTTTAAAAGAAGGCAAAATACCTCCTTATCGATTGCAAATTCACGAAACGCAACAAAGATATTTTGAATCTTTTTCCCAAAAAAAAAACTCCAAGAAAAGCTTCTTTTTTTTTAAAAAAAAAAAACGACTCGGAGATCGGACGCACCAGTCCAACGAGGATCACCACACCGATGACCTGGATAGTGGGCCCAGGTTCCCATTATATTGATCGTATGCCACGTGTTCCAGATCCAACGTTTCTCATGCTTCAAAGTCATATACCGCGACCGGGAAGGTAAGCGTCAAATGATCGGACGGCCACCGTTTCTCTCCCCTCATCAACGCCATTAAACACTCAACCCTCGGCACGCCGGGCGCCAAAAACCCCTTTCGTCCTTCCACCGATAAACCTGGGACTCTGAAACCCCCGCAAAGGCCCACACTTGAATTTTAAAACACTTCTGATCAGCCACATCCAACCAACAGAGAGATAAATCAGAGTATAGTGAATCTCAGAGGAACGAGGATTTCCAATTTTGAGCTTCGCTTCCGTCTTCTATCCATTCATCGGTGTAGTTTGATGCGATTCGAGCATGGAGCTTCAGAATACTGTGAAAGAAGCCCTAAATGCACTGTACCATCACCCTGATGATACAGTGCGCATGCAAGCCGATCGGTTCCTCCAAGATTTTCAGAGAACTTTAGATGCGTGGCAGGTAGTTTCTGCCTTTAATCTCGTCCCTTTTGTTTGGATTCGAATAAACTGGTTTCCAATTTTGCTTTTATTGATTTTTTGTCGCGGCAAGAGGATTGTTTTGATTATTCGGTGCTGATAATCGCTGGGTGATTGTTTTGATGACTGCCATTGGCGTCTGATGGTGTTGTAATTGTGAACTTCACTGCAAGTCATTCGAGTAGTGCTTGGCGACTGTTTCAGGTTTTGTCCTTATTGGATACTATGGAGAGTAATTGAAAGTGGGAACTCTCTTTTGAGCTACGAGCTCAATAATTCAGTGCAGAAAGAAACACTTGTTTCTGGTGATGAAACGATTTTAAGCAGATTGCTCGTGTACGGTACATATTTTCACCGCTTTGTTTTTCTGTTCTGTAGGTCGCTGATAATCTACTTCACGATGCTACCAGCAATCTAGAAACTTTGATTTTTTGTTCTCAGACTCTCAGAAGCAAGGTGATTTCACATTTTGGGGAGCTCGTTAAATGCTGATATCGGCCTGTGAACTATTGGTTCACAAGGTTTTTAAATTTCTTATTTTGGGTTTTTTGAGTGAATCTTATTTTTGGGTGTTTACCCAGGTACAACGAGACTTTGAAGAGCTTCCCTCTGAAGCTTTCCGGCCACTACGTGACTCCTTAAATGTGAGTGAGTATCTCTCTACATCTGTTTCCCTGATTTGCTCAGGGAGCATTTGTATGTAGTTAGGATGTAATCTTACCCAATACTGGGGAGAATGCAATAATAGTTTGTCCCGCTCATATGTTTAAAATAGGAATAAAACTTTACAACTTGATCATAAAGGTTCTCAGCTAAATGATTCCACAAATTAGATGTAACAAAATCGCTTATTTGGTTTTCTGAAATACAGACATTGCTGAAAAAATTCCACAAAGGCCCTCCCAAAGTCAGAACACAGGTATCATGCAGGGGTTCGTTGCACTGTTATGTATGTTGTTAATAAATGAAAGCATAATATGCCTATTTTATTGTTCTAAAATGTGTTCATGTATAGATTAGCATTGCAGTGGCTGCTCTGGCTGTGCATGTTCCTGCAGAAGATTGGGGGGACGGTGGTATAGTGAAATGGCTTAGGGATGAGATGAATTCCCATCCAGAGTTTATACCGGGATTCTTGGAGTTACTTACAGTTTTGCCAGAGGTGTGAAAGCTAACATGAGGAAATCTATATGTGATCTTTTTCATATTGTTAGTGAGACACGAACTAATGTCAATATGTTGGGTTATTAAGCTAAAAAGGACTGAATTGTCGTAACTGTACGTTGCTAAATTACCTTGGAGTTTCTAGCAGTTTTGTCGGAGGTATAAAAGCTAATGCGGGGAAATATATTTATGATCCTTTTGCCTTGTTATTGGGACAGCTACCAAACTTTTTGATGAAATCTATTTATGATCTTTTTGCCTTTTTATTCGGACAACTACCAAACTTTTTGATGATTAAGCTCTAAAGGAGTGAATTGTCGCGACTGTATATGACTATATTACCTTGGTGTTACTAACAGTTTTTCCAGAGGTACGGAAGTCAATGCGTGGAAATTTATTTCTGATCTCTTTATCATATTAGTAGGACAGCTGTCAAAATTTTAGATGATTAAGCTCTATAATACTGAATTGTCACGTCTGCATGAACTGTTATCTTTATTCATTACTGCCGTACACTCTTTTTCAACATTCTCAGCAAGATGCCAAGAAGCCAATCTACATTGTAATGTCGGATAGGGGGAAAATGTGGTTCTTTACGTCATACAAGTTATAGATAATTCTATTTGCAAATGTAAACAAATATTTGAATTAAAGTAAGTTTATTAATTATAGCTTTTGGTTGCATGTATGTCTTTTACGTATTTTGTCTTCTATTTTTAGGAGGTATTTAACTACAAGATAGCAGCTCGCCCAGAAAGGCGCCGCCAATTTGAAAAGGAGCTTACATCTCAAATGGAGGTTGCTCTTAGTATTTTGACCGCTTGTTTAAATATTTCTGAACTTAAGGAGCAGGTGGGTGGTGAATTTTATTTATTCATTTACTTTCCCTTGTGCAGTTGTGCGGTTGTTATGAGATATATTGGGCTTGAAGTTTTTATTAAGTGGTCTTATCATCATGTTAACATGTCAGGTTCTTGAAGCATTTGCCTCTTGGCTTCGCCTAAAGCATGGGTATGGCTTTCTTTTGTAAAGGCTCGTACTTGAATCTAGAATATATTTGCATAACTAAAATTTGAATATTTCAGACATCACTTGTTTAGCCGTAATCAAAGTGCTTTTTTTTTTCTTTTTTTTTCCCGTTCTTAATTTCTTCTAACTGAACGACAACAGCTGGGCCTAACATATGATGTTTGTGTCGCATACATGGCACTGTTATATTTTTCATTCTTATGGTTATTGTGCAACAATCATTTAAGCCTGAGAGGCTCTTAAAATTGTATTGTGGATGAGCACAAGCTTCTATTAATGTTACATGAATGACCTCTGGCAAGGACTTAAGCTTTATAGGAATATTTTTTGGGGGCATAAGTATTTTATCTTAGACAGAAACTGTTGCACTGTACTGTAAGTAAGGACAAAATTTGGCATCTTTTTGCTTGTGGCCATTTAATATTGGTTTATATGGGAGTTTGTTCGAAAACAACCAAATAGTTGATCTGTATGTTTTTCATAGATAAATGTTCCAGAAAACACCTAGTTGGGGGATTTATTTGAGAATGCAAGATTTTGATGCATTAGGCTTCATTGTCATGTTTTTGCAAATAGACCCAGTAAGCTTAGGATTTTGCCGCATCTTTTGTTTCCTCTATGAAAATATGGTGGATTTTGTTTTCTGGACTAAACCTGTTCCTGAGGTTCCTGTTCTTTCATTCTCTTGGGCAAATATTTTTTATTTTTTATTTTTATTGGTCTTTAATATACTTATTTTTCATTTTCAGGATTCCTGGATCTGTTCTTTGTTCTCATCCATTAGTTCTCACTGCATTGTCAAGCTTGAATTCTGAGTTACTCTCAGAGGCATCTGTTAATGGTATTACAGCTTGAAGCAGCTAAATGTTGATAGTTCTATTTTTTTTCCTTCAAGATATGTATGCTTTTTGTTGTGGAGTAAAGAATCTACAAGCAACAAATTGTAGGACCAATGGAGGATTATAACATTCTTGAACTATTGGAAAAAAATTAGTCATCATTTTATTTGTTGATTGCTGTGTAATTTGTTCATAAAAAACCATAATTGTCATGCTTAAGGGGTACAAAAAATCAGTAGTCTGTAGAATGCATTGTTCAATCATACTAACATTAAAGTATTTACAAAAGAATAACTTTCAAGTAATTAAATAATTCACCATTGTCGTAAGTAACATAGCTTAGCATGCAAACACAGGTAAAGAGAAGTTCAGCCCTCGACATTGATGTCATAGTTTTTTTCTTACTTTGTAATTGAGAAGGACATTGGTTCTAACATTAACAATCATAAACCGATAGTCTTGAATCTTTCTCTGCTGGATTGAGACGCCACCATGATTTTACCTAAAAAAAGATTCCATATAAGATTAAGCCAAAAATTTGGGTCATAGGACCGTGAATGCTTTACAGTATAGTTTTTCCATATGGAAAAGGACTATATAGAAATCATATCTAGTTAGTATTGTGGTGTCTATGGTGAAATATCCTTAATCAGTAATAATCCTTGACAAGTTGGGTTCAGGGATAGCTTTCAAAATTCTTGTATGTGGTCAACATTGCGTCAGAAAACAGCATTATGCTGAAGCTGTCATAGATATATTGCCTTGATATCCAAAGTGCTTTCCTTTCCTCTGGCTGTAGCTTCTTTGCCCTGTATGTGCACTTTATGCTAACTCAGGATAACCAGTGGTGGATTTTTTTTAAGGGATATTTATTTATTTTTGTATTAAGGGCCGAATTTTAGGTGAGTTACACTTATTTGTAGAGTAATACTTTTCTTTCTCTTTGCAGTTATTTCTGAATTGATACACTACACAGCAGCAGGAAACTTTGGTGGTGTTTCTGCACACTTGCCTTTAATTCAAGTGATTGTGCCTCAGGTTATGAGTCTCAAGACGCAACTTAGTGACTCTTCAAAGGTATACAGTTATGAATTTCTCATTCTACTTACTCTGACACATGGTTGATTCTCTTCTTGATTGGATCAAAAATTCAATTATGGCAATCTTACTTCATAATCGTGCTGTGTTTTTTCACTAAGCACAGATATCCTCCCGTTTGATGTAATCATTTTCTTTTCCATTTTATATGGTCATAAAAATGCCTCATTTATGTTTTATATGTTACCAACATCCTAATTTTAAATTCACACAAACAAAAAATTCGTTATTTGAGAACAAGTGCTTGGTGTGGTTTATTAATGATGACTACTAATTTATGGTTTGTTTTATCTGCTTTCAGGATGAGGAAGATGTGAAGGCAATAGCTAGGTTGTTTGCTGACATGGGTGATTCATATGTTGAACTGATCGCAACTGGTATGTGCTAAATACGTACTCTACATAGGTTATCCTCCTTATATCTGCTTATCTTCCGTGGTGTAAACCACTTTGAAGCTCTGTCAAGTTGCTTTTTTGCTCTAAAAGTCTGGCGAACTACCTATGCAGGTTCAGATGACTCAATGTTGATTGTGCATGCGTTATTGGAAGTTGCTTCACATCCTGAATATGATATTGCCTCCATGACTTTTAACTTTTGGCACAGTCTTCAGTTGAACTTGACCAAAAGGTGATTTTTCCCCAAAAGGTACTGAATCTATTGGGTTTTTCTGGAGCTATATTCTAAATACGATTGTTACATAATCTGACAGGGAATCCTATATATCTTATGGTAATGACGCATCTATTGAAGTTGAGAGAAAGAGGAGGCTGCAGGTTTTCCGTCCTGCATATGAGTCACTTGTCTCATTGGTGAGTCATTCAGGATTGAACCTTGCTTTCAAATTTATTGTACACCCATTCAACTACTATGCATGGTTTCAAGTCCTCAAGCATGGTAGCCTTGTAATTCAATTATAAAGTGTCTAGAACTATGACAGTTGGGACTGGCTGTAGAATTGTTCGCTACCTTAAGGTTGAGAGGCGTGTTACATATGCCAACTTCTCTTGGCCACTCATTTCCACATGACTGTATGCTATTGCTGTTAGTTTCAGTTCTCATAAGTTGGGTTGAGTTGGTTTTACAGGTTAGCTTCCGAGTTCAGTATCCTGAAGATTATCAGGACCTTTCATATGAGGATCTTAAAGAATTTAAGCAGACCAGATATGGTAATGGGTTAGGGTTGTAATACTTTTGTTTAATTTTCTTCTCAATTCTCATGTATCATTTGTACTCAAACCGGGTCATGTTAAGGTGCAAATGTTATTCACCGTCAAAATATTCTAAACCAATACATTCTAGGGAAGTTGTGGAATTCCTTGCTCTTGGAATTCAGGTCACAAATAGAGATAGGAATGGAAAAAGAAATGGAATGAGAGAGTTATTTTGTCGATGGAAAATAACCCTTCTACCCTATAAAAGATACTCTTTCCAATTCGTAATATAAAAACTAGATAACTAATTCATAGATGTTAAGAAAATTAGTTTAGTTATTTGTAACAAATGTTTGTTGATTTTTCTAGAATATCCGTTCTAATACTGTACATTGTAACTACCCCTTGATGAAAACATTCGTGCTGTATGCAATCTGTAGGGATATTGTGGGGGGAAAAGTTATCAACATGGGAGACAGTGGATTAGGGTCTTATATTTAGGATCAAAGCAAACCCCATCTCAGGCTCCTATATCTAGAACTGGAGATAGTAATAGGAAGGAACATACATTGTTGATCAATGATAACAGTGACCATCATAGACATTGCAAAAAATCTTGCCTTTACCTACCTTTCCTTATGAAATGTCCAATGTTTTCGTGAGTGGTGCTTGTAGGTTTTTGCTCCATTTTTAAAAAAAATATTTATTTAGTTTAATCAAAGATCAAGATGTGAAGCTTAGCTCTTGTAGAAAACTAGCAATTTACTAACGGCAGTTAGATTAAGTGGACGAGACTCCATAGTCAGAATCTTGTGAGTGAATAAAATCACAATGGCTAAGCCCCGTTTTAGGACCCAACAGTAGAATCTGAATTAGATAGTAGTACTGGATGGCAAATTGTTCTCAAAAGAGAAAAGAAAGAAAGAAAGCAATTTTACCATATGATTTGATAATGTGAGAAATTTTTTTTTAAAAAAAAGTAATCTTGGTGCATACTGAGTTTCTTTTACTGTGCATTTTGCCATTCATCATTTGATTTTGCTGTCTTTGCGGCTATTTGATGTAGTGATTAATCTCATTTGGGAGCTGTGTTATTTTAGGGGCAGGGGCTTTCTCTCCTCTGTTCCCTGAATTGCGCCATATTCTCCAACTTATGTTTTTTACTTGTAGCTAAATTTTCGTTTAAACATTGCTACATTTATACTTTTTTATCTCAGCCCAAAACTCAGTAATTCTACCTGGCTTACTGAAATTTTTTGTTATCAGCTGTTGCAGATGTCTTAACAGATGCAGCGTCAGTTCTAGGTGGCGATGCAACGCTTAAAATTCTATATATGAAACTATTTGAGGTGCATCACATTCTTGGTTGGTTTGAATATGATATGCTTTCTCTGATTATATGTCTTCCAATAGTGAATACAATTTACAAGCTGAAACTTCAAATTTGTTTATACTTTTTGGTATCTTTTATGTACTATCGTCTTAGTAATGTGAATATAATTTCTGAAATCCCCTATTTTAAGGCTGTATCTGGCCATGGCAATGATGAACACAAAGAATGGCGTTCAGCAGAGGCTACTTTGTTTTGTATTCGTGCAATATCAAACTATGTGTCGGTTGTTGAGTCAGAAGTAATGCCTCAGGTATGATTAGGTTTAACTTCTTTTGAGTGATGATTAGGTTTAACTTTGTTATACAGTTATACATGATCTGCAACATGTTTGATATGCTGCTAATCCTCTCATAGTTTTTCAACTTTGATTTCTGATATGAGAGAACAATTTAGGGAGAATTACAATCAAGTCCCAAGGATGGGATTTAATTACCCTAAAGCCCATCAACAAGTGAAGAGTAAGCAATAATAAGTTTCAAAATAAGAAATGACAACAGGTTCAGGCTAGTCACTTGTTATTGGGACTTTTTAATAATTAAATTTCTTTCTTGGGACTTCTTGGTCCCAGCAATATTTATTGTCTGCTATGCAGATATTATACCACTGCCTTCATGTGGTAAATATGTGTTCGTTATTTGATTTGTGAAAATGTTGATGTTTAATTTGTGAAGTTCCTTCATTTGTTGAAACTTTATTTTTTGCAAGTCCCTGTAAAATTCATAATGTATACTTAATTTCCTTGTTTTCTCTTGACATAGATCATGGCTTTACTTCCAAAACTTCCTCATCAACCCCAGCTACTTCAGACAGGTAATATACTACTTTAGTCATTATCTCTTCATACCTATCGCAAGCTATTTTCTTCACTCCTCCAAAAATTGCCCTATTTGATGGTTGGTTTTTTTCACCTTCTTGGGAACTGGGGAAACTAGAAAGTGACCTTAGGATGATAATGTTGATTGTCTGCCTGTAAGGAAGTTCACCTTATTGCTTATTCCGTAGTCTGTAATTGTATGCTTTATTAAGGTTGTGCATTCTGTTATAAGTTTGAACTCTGCTGACCCTAATTCATGTTTTCTTGTGGGCATATTTTCAGTGTGCTTAACTACTGGTGCTTATTCAAAATGGCTTGATTCTGCATCCTGTGGGTCATCTTTACTGCCTTCAGTTCTAGATATCTTAATGAATGGCATGGGTACATCTGAGGATTGTGCAGCCGCCGCCGCTCTGGCATTTAGACACATCTGTGATGGTATGATTAACTCTTGTTTGAGTATATTTGTGCACTTTTTGTTTGCTCCTTGAAACATTGATGAAAATCCTTGGTGAATTCCAGCTTTAGGTTCTAATGTGGATGAACAAGTGATAACAATTCATCTTTCTGAAGCTTGTGTTTTAGATCATGAAGCTTGGCATTGTAATTTTATGGGCTGCATTTGACAGGGGCTTATTTGTACTTTGGCGAATATATTTATTTTCTCTTTTTAAGGGATGAAACTTGTTTGAGCTTCATTTGTTTTCATAAAACATGACCTGTAAAAGATGGTGAATGAAAAACAATTTCTGGTGTTGTGGAGTGTAGTAGAATTTCAATGTGAAATAAATCATTTTAATGAAATCCTATTTTCAAATTTCAATGTGACCTGTCACTGACACTATGGCAAACATTGGTTGGGCTATGGAGACAACTTAGAAGGTTATCGCATTACATAGTAGGATATGCTTTTCTAATGAAAAGAAAATCCTGCCTGTATTTTTCTAAAGGACAAAAGAAAAAACGTTTTGTGACCTTTAGAAAATAATATTTTATTGTTGATAGAGCTATTGCTTTAAACTTGATGCATCTGCAGTGGTTCTGGCAAATGCATTTAGTTTTTGTGAAAGACACTCACTGCCTCGTTGTCTTCTTAAAACTTTGTTAGCTGGGAAAATATTAACTGAACTTATTTCAGACTGCCGAAAGAAGCTATGTGGATGCTTGGATGGTCTGTTCCACATCTACAATAAGACGGTTAATGGAGAAGATAGTTTTAAAGTACCTGCTGAGGACTCACTACATTTGGTTGAAGCCTTAAGGTAAATTGCTTGAAACCTTTGGCAAAAGAGTGTTGTTTTTGGCTTTCTTTTGAGCGAGCGAGTTACCAACTTAATAAACGTTTGTGCAGTATGGTTATTACTGAACTTCCTCCAGATGATGCTAAGAGAGCTCTTGAGGCACTGTGCCTACCCGTCATATATCCCTTACAGGTTAGTATCTGTTCTCTGGAATTCTTTAATTCTTAATTTCTCGATCAATAATCCTGTATTCGGCATTGTGCTCTATCAGGAAGCTATTAATCAAGGTCCAGAGATCTTGAGTAAAAGACCTTCTCGCCAGTTAACTATTCACATTGATCGATTTGCTTATATATTTAGGTAGCAAATTTTGATCCCCTTATTTAGCTCCTGGCACATGCCTGCCTGTATTTATTTTAGGGTTACGAAGTCTTGAACATATAACTGTATCTGTTTTTAGATATGTAAATCATCCTCAAGCAGTGGCAGATGCTATCCAGAGGCTCTGGCCAATTTTTAAAGCTATTTTTGATCTGTGAGTATTCTTGAAATGTTTCTTAAGAAGATAACACCCCCTCTCTCTCTCTCTCACACACGCGCACGCAAAATGTGCTGTTTTTTCTGACATTTTTGAAATGTTCTGGATGTAGTCGTGCTTGGGACATGCGAACGATGGAATCTCTTTGCCGAGCTTGTAAATATGCTGTAAGCTAAATTATTTTCTCTATCTATATTTGATTTTGCTCAATGTCAATAGAATTTTCAATAATGGCATGGCGTAAATTGTTTAGTCAAACAGCTAAATGAGGCACTCATTTTACCATTGTCTCAATTCTGAAACAATTGTGTTTACGGCTTTCAACCCTCTTTGCATATTGTATTGTGCTTTAGTTCAAACGTTTTTTTAAGGTGGCAACTTGCTGTGGCTGAGAGGGTTTGTGTATTTTTCCTAAGAAGATGAGAAACTGAATTTCGTTTTGTTGCTTGTAAGCCTTGTCAATGATTCAGATTTATGAAATTCAATGTCAGTTCTCAGGTGGTTTCTTCCTCCTAAAGAATCTGTACAAGATCAACTCTGGTTCTATGCCTTGTCAACGTTGAAAAGATTTGTTTGTTTTATTGAATGCTCTCTCGCAATCTTCTATCGGGAGATATTATTGGGTCTTGAAGTCTCCAATAACCCAACATAAAAAGATTTACAGCTGGTCACAATGAGTGTACATGTTTTTAGGTGAGAACTTCTGGAAGGTTCATGGGGCTCACAATTGGTGCAATGCTAGAAGAGATTCAGAGTCTATATATGCAGCACCACCAACCATGCTTTCTTTATCTCTCCAGTGAAGTTATAAAGGTATGCATATCATAGCTTTGAAATTTTATCCACATTCCTAATCTATAAAATATCATTGCGTAGTACTGTGGATTGCCCTTGTTCAGTTGGTGGTGGGTAAAAACATTTAAATGAAACATTCGCATTCACTCGTAATCTTTATATATGAAATGTGATGACTGAGCACAAGTGTGGATTGCCAATGCTCAGCAAGTGTTAGTAAATTGATGTGGAATTTAATGATTCTTAAAATTATAAAATAAGGCATTAATTTCTCCACTTTCAAGGAATACATTTTGTATAACCGCAGAATCTTGAGTTTTGTTGTTTTGGACACTGTTGGTTTTGTTGCAGAGGCCGGAGGTATGGCCAAGAGTTCGGGGGGCTTGAAAAAAGTAATTGTTGTTAATGTAAAGAAAGAAGATTAATCTAAATGGTGCAACTAACTTTTCTAGCCATGCATCTTGTGTTTCTATTGATAGTTATAATTCTTTGGTAATACAAATAATACAAGTGCAGTCCACTGGCAATAAAAATGCTTAATTTATCCTAGCTGTTTCAGAGTTTTTTGATGGGCTGCTGTTTCAAACTATTGTAACAGTTATTAGCTATATTTGGCATTTCAGGATATTGTGTATTGATCTTTACTAGGGTTGCTTTTATGGCCTCTTACTGGTTTCTGCTAATTGCCTTTTTTATGGTGTCAATGATTATTGTAGTAATTCGTCGATAGCCTATTTGTCAAAAAATTTTATTTCCAATTGACTATATTTGCAGATGATTATTCTTCATATACATGGTATGATCAATGAACTAGTTTGCTTTAATTTTGGTTATTGACGCTCTTTCCATTTCAGATATTTGGTTCTGATCCATCTTGTGCTGACTACCTTAAGAATTTGATTGAGGCACTCTTCCAGCACACAACTCGCCTTCTCACAAATATTCAGGTGCGATTCAAGTGAATTCTTTCTGTTTTAATTATATAATGTGATTGATTTTTAATTCCTGCTGCAGGAATTCACAGCCCGGCCAGATATAGCAGATGATTGCTTTCTGTTGGCCTCAAGGTGTATGCGTTATTGTCCTCAACTCTTTATTCCCTCCTCCGTTTTTCCTTCATTAGTTGATTGCTCCATGATTGGGATCACAGTACAGCACAGGTATACTCTCTCACACAGGCGTGCACACAAAACATTATAACTTGCCCATTCTCATGCATCCTCCATTCTTCCTTCGGGTTTGTGCGTGGCTCAAGTGTTTGTGCATCACTGGGATACGAACCCTATCATGTAGATTTTAAATCATTCATCCATCACTTCTAATTGAAATTTTAATCATCAAATAGACGTGTAGTTTAACGTCTTATGAACTTCGTTTTTTCTCTGGTTTGATTGTGTGGCCTGACCTCAAGGCATGAGCCATAGCCATCTGCCTAAACTCTCAATGCATAGATCTTCCTGGAAAGGTTTATAAATTAGTAAACTACAATGCTTGTCTATTTTAAAAGTCATAAGAGTTACCCAAGGATAAGAAGCTGATTGAAAATTTGAGGCCCATTTGATTTCATGAGAAGGAAAATGTGGTTAACTGAAATTGTTTTCCTGAGGACCGGAAGTTTTCCACTGTTTGATGTTAACAATGGCAAGCATTTTCTTCCATTTGGTTTAGAAACTGGATTTTTCTTTATTTGTTTGCTTTTCTGTTTCTTATTCTTTTCTATACATATACTTAGCCACAACTGTGTGTAATTTTTGATATAAAGATCGTTCTAATTCTGGAAAACTTATGCCATATGAGAGCATTCAATGAATATGCAGATGTTGCGTGGACATCACCTTTTCTTGTTTCTCTCTTCTGCAGGGAGGCTTCCAATTCTATATTGCATTTTTTGGCTGACATTTTTGATCTTGCAAACTCCGCCGTTGGCGAGCCATTTGTACCTATCAGAGACAGCATAATTATTCCTCGAGGCGGCACCATAACGAGAATCTTGATTGCCTCATTAACAGGAGCACTTCCAAAATCTCGAGTAGAAGTGGTAATTAACCAATTCTTTTTTGACTTTCTTCTTAAAATATCTTTGCCATGACTTGTGGATATTTCCTAACCCCATCGTTCCTTAGGTATCTTACCCCTTACTAGCCTTAACTCGTGCCTATGGGATGCAAGCGCTGGGGTGGGAGAAAGAGTGTGTTTCATTAATTCCATCAACGGCAGTCACTGATGTGGAGCGGGCAAGATTCCTAGAAGCGTTATCTGATGCAGCATCGGGTGGTGATACCAGTAGGCTGAACGTGTTCATTGAAGAGTTTTCGGATGTTTGTCGGAGAAACAGAGCAGTTCAGGAAATAGTGCAAGATGCCTTGAGACCGCTGGAGTTGAATTTGGTGCGTGTATCATCATCATAGAGGAATGGATAAGGCATTGGATTTGGGGGCCATTTTGCTTAGGCCTTGTCTTGTGGTTTAGGTTAGGTCGGTTTGTGTATTGTCCATTGTTATATTCATAATTTGATCCATGATCTTATCCTTCTCCAATTTTTTAGGAGAGTTCGAGCCCCCCTTCATGAGATGTGTAGGTTGGAAAAAATTATGTGGGGTGTTGTATCTTTTACTTTTCGAGATGTGGGATTGGTGAGTGGTCATTTGTCTTTGCTGTCATTTTTGGGGGCTGAGGTTACATGGTATAGAAGTGTAATTTAATGAAAACAAGAAAAGAAAAGAAAAAAGAAGAGGAAAATGATAAGGTTAAGGAATCTTTCTTTTTTTCCGTTTTGCCCTTTCAATTTTTTTAAATCGAAAATATTTCATTTGATTTGGAATATTTTGACAATTGCGCTGTCCATGTGCCATGTTAGACTGTATTTAAAATCAAATGGAGGCCCACAAACAAATTTGTTTTTTCAGTCGTTCCCTCAAGTTTTTCTCTTCACGGTTTGAGGTGTCTAGATTGAATTTGATTTAAATTTATTTTTTTTCCAAAGTTCGAAGCATACGGAATGGAAGTTTAATTTGTTGATCAGAGCGTGATTTGTGCCTTTGCACAAAACTCAAGGTTGGAAATAATCCTTCGGTTTTTAATATAAAATTTATTTAATTAATTTGATTAGATTAAAAAAGATAAGTAAGTTAGTTATAAAAATATGACGTGTTTTTTTTTAAATACTATAATTATCTGTTTTAATATTATTATTTTTTATTTGATTATAGTTGAAGGAATATTAATAGGAGTAATTAGGGAAAAATTAATGTGTGAAATAGATTTTATATTTAAAATCAAAATTAATTTAACAATTATGTTATATATTAGAAGGAGTATAACTTTGGATCACATGTTTAATCTGAATTGTATGACTATGGAAAGTAGAAGAACGAAGGTGAAGACTGAAATAATCAATTTAACTACTCAAGAAAACAGCTTGTGTTTTAGGTGAAGTGGTGGAAGTGGATGTTGGTCCTTTAGTCCGTCCGTGTGTCGTGTCATATGTTGTTGATGTTCTGAGAGAAATATTTTATTACTTTCTCCGGTTTAAAACTAAACTTGGTTAGAGGGATTTGATTTTTTTTTTTTTTATAATACTCACTTTTGTCTAGGTGTTTAATATATATTTTTTAATTTTATGCCTTATATATTCTTTTTTTAATTAATTTATTACATTTTTTATTTGTTCTTTTCATTAGTAAGAGTATGTTTGAGGAAAAAAAATACATGCCTTACATATTTAAGTGAAAAATAAAAATTCTCATTAAAAAACTGAATAGATGTTATGGTAAGGAAAAAGGAATGATGGGTGGTTGGGAAGTTAACTAAAAGCTAAAAAGAATGAAGGAACATGAGGGTGAGGAATGGTTTAAATCCTCCCATCAACAAAAGCATTTTAATCCTAGTGATCTGCTAAAGTTGGCAAAACTATTCCCCCCGGTCGAGTCTCAAAGAGGTAACGAGGAGACATATACTGAAAAAATACACTACATCTGATACTAAATATAAGATTTATTTTATAAAAAAACTCATAGTTTTAAATATAATATCTATTCTATAGTACAAATTACACTAAAAAAAATTTCTTACGTACATAGGACTGGAAGTAGTAGTAAGTTAGGAACTTTTAATATGACAGAAACAATATAGTACACGTGATATAAATATGAAACCAGTGAAGCCAAGTTGCTTGACTCGAAAGTTTGCCTCCTCCATAGCTTTACAGACGCAGTGAAAGAGACAGAGGAATCACTTCCTGAAGTAGGGACAAAGGGATTAATATATGATCCTCTCATCTCATTGATTACGAAAGTAAAGAGAAGCACTGTGAACAATAATAACAAGGAAGAATCTTGTTCCTCCTCCCACATTAGGAATTCTAAATTAAGAAGTCCAAAACACTATAATTATTTTTTCTCTGAATCAAGTTCATTATTAAATGATGAAAAGTTACTATCATAATTTAGGACTGTTATATGACTCTAGTGAAGGTTAACTTTCTTGAAATCAGAATAATTCTTCTAAAACTTATATTCTCCAAAAACGTTACTCCTCCACTCATAAATACAAAACCTATTTTATAATGTAAATTGTACTATAAAATGAGTCTCATATTTAAGATCGGAGGAATAGTTTGGTTTCTAAAAATAATTGTAATATCTTAAAATCTCGAGCTAAAATTTTGAAGAATGGCATCTTTAAATGTAATTTTCTGTCAAATTAGGCTTTGTTTGGATCAACGCAAGAAAAAGGAGGGAAGGTTAATTAAAGGACGGGAGAAGGAAGGGGAGAAAGATTATGGGTTTTGTTTGGTTGGAAGGGAGGGGAAAGGAAGGGAGATTTCTTATCTATATATCTAGACTACTTTATTCTTTTATTACAATACTTATATCAAAATTATTATTTCTTAATTTATCAATTTCAAAAAAACCAATTACCTCACTTACATGTGATAAAAAAAATTATGATAAAACTAAAAAAATTAGAAAATATGATAAGTTTAACATTCTATCTCATTAATTTTATAATTATAATACACATGCATGTGTATTAATATATATATATGATATGTGTATATTATATAATTATAATACACACACGCTATGATATGTATATATTAATATATATATGCATGTATGTAGCCTATTTGAGATGAATATATATGCATGTTTGCAACTCATCTGAGATTATAATACACACACATCATGATATATAATTACAATACACACACATTGTGATATATATATATATATCAATTGATGTATATGAAAAATAATTCAATTGCTCAATACATGATATTTTTATTAGTTTCACTCTCAAAAACTGATTAAAATTATTCTCAATTTGAGTATTTTCTTCTTATTCGTTTTCAATTTATGCAAAATATAAGCCATGTTACACTATTATATCAACACAATAAAGTTGGAACTTGAAACTTAATAAAATAAGTATGCAGGCATACTAACGATGGCAAAGACCTTGACTTTTCAAACAGTTAAGTGGTAAGTTAGTAACCTCCCTTACAGTATAATAATATTGGCTGAAAAGAGAAATAAGGGAGAAAAGGATTTCTAATAAGAGGGGCAAGCTTGGAATATTGAAAAGCTAATTGGGTAGTTTAGTCAATATTAGGTATAATATTTTTCTCTCCTCTAAAAAACCCCAAATTTGGAAGGGAGCACTAAAAGACAAATTTCTTCCTTCCCCTCTTCTCTATTTTTTTCAACCAAATGCACTTATCTCATCCCCTACGCTCTCCTCCCCTCTCCTCCCCTCAATAACCCTCCAACCAAATAAAAGCTTAAAGCATAATGAAGAAATCCGTAGAGCCCCTTTCATCATCACTCCCCATTCTCCAACAACGCGTGAGAATCATTGCAATGCAAAAGTCTAAGATGCCCTCGTTAAGCAAATGGCGTGTAATTAAACATATTCATGCAAGAAAATATATGTAAATTTAATCTACTAAATGAAATACTAGTCTTAATTAATGTTATAATCCGTCTCAGCCACGTGTTATACGGATGAACCAACCAAAATACTCCTCTGCTCCTATTTATAAGTTACTTATAGCATGTTCCATATAAATCAAGAAAAATCTTAAATCTCATTAACTCTCATTTAAAATTCAACAATTTTTCAACTTTATTCCTATTTAACATACATTGTACATCATATAAATAAAGTCAACATAATAATAAATGAAGGGTAAAATTATACATCTGTATAAAAAAAATTTCTTAGTACCGTATTAATAGGACCAAAAAATACATTATCTCTATGTCCTATGAATAGGACCAGTGGAGTAATCATCTACTTTATGAACCGAAATTTAATATCCTTTGTATAGAACTTATGAAGTGATGAACTATTTGGGTTCATCCATACGTAGAGCTGCCGCGTGTTTTCACACTCGTTACAAAGAAACAAGGCAGAAAGATTCTCTGGATGATATATATGTGGGGCTGGTCCTAACTTTGCAAGAGAACCTTCATTTTAACGGTCCCAGAAAGGAATCTAAAGGAACCTAGCCACTCTATATCTATATTTCAATAATAATCTTTAGTTTCGGTTTACACGAAACCACAAATACGAAACAAACACATTTATATGCTTATAAATAGACTCTTTGCTTCATCTGTTTGCAACAAAGATCTATATTATCTGTTTCAGAGCCATGGATAGCAGAGACAAGTCCAAGAGTAGCAGAACTGATAGGTCTCTGTGTGAGAAATCAATGAGAGTTGTCTCGAACATCATCAGGATTTCGTCTTTCTCTCTCGCCCAGAGGACTCTCGGTGGGACCACGGTGAAGGCTTCTTCAAAGGAGGAGGAGGAAGAAGAAGACACGGTGAGTGAGATTGAGCCGTTGGTGGTGCTGCCCGCCGGCCGGTCCAGAGGATCAAGCGGCAGGAGGTTGCAAGAACCGCAGATCCGGCAGAACCGAACGTACGTGATCAAGCCAGCCGCCGGAGGAGGAGGAGGCGGAAACGAACAAGATGAAATATCGCATCATCGTGTGATTCAGCATGAGATTGAGAAGAAAGAAGAGTGTGTTGACGGCTTGGCTTCTGATTACATCAAGAAGATTCGTAATCAGATAGGATGTGGTTTGTAGGACATAACATGATTGCATAAACCTACGTAACGTTCTTAGCTATTTAGTTTACCGTCTCTGTCTTTAATTTCACACACGCACACACACACACCATGTATGAGATGGATGATATAGATGTTTTTTTATTTGAAATAAACCAGATGTAATAAACCTTTAGCTAGTTGATCTTTTAATATTTTTGTGTTGGAAAGCAAGTTCATGATTTTGCTGTATCTGATCTGAAGGCAAACTATACTTTAATTTTCTCTTTTTCTTCGTTTTTTTTTTTCTTTTCATGTTGCTTTCTTTTATTCCTTGCGGGATGGACAAGTATTTGGATAGTGTTCTTTAATTTCCAAGAGAAAGGAATTTTCCTTTTTCATATGTCCTTTTCGGCTTTGCAACAGATCAGAGAGGATAATTCATCAAATGAAAAAATCCAACAAAAACATAGAAATAAAATAACAACGAACAAGATGCCCACCTGTGAATTTTGCATGGAGTACGAAGAATTAATCACACTACTTAAAAAGTCCGTTAATATTAGTTAAAATATATAAGACAGTACATTTATTTAGTTTTTTTAAATATGTCCTTATTTACAAGAGTGTAGTAAGAGAGGGAGAGATTATGAGGAAAAAGAAGATGAAAATGAATATATGGGAAAAAGATAGCACAATTAATTAGGGATAAAACTGATAAAAATGCATTTAATGTTCAAAATACTCCGACATAAATATTATAAAATCTGAAATCTTATAAAAAGTATTAAAGGAGTAGAGGGAATACATATAACTTTGGTCAGCTAACGTTTACTAACAATTAGCTAGAGTGAGTTCAGTTATCTACTTGGAACCGACAGAGATACGATATTTAGCATTTATGAAAAGTATGAAAAGAATTGCTTACCTTTGGTTACATACACGCTAACTTAGGGTTTGGCTTTTGGTTGAGAGACCTTTTGTGATCTTGGCAGAGGGAATTTATGCTTTCGGATGAATGAGTTTTATATTATTGTAGCCACTAAATGTGAAACGCACAACATATAAGCACCTCCCCTTGGGTTCGACTTTTAAAACATTTGTATGTGTTTTCTTCCTCATCAACCAAACCAAATCTTTCACATCATCTCTCTCTCTCTCTCTCTCTCTCTGAATTTCCCAAATGTAACATCACCACATGAATCATGATGCCACCTCACCTTATGTCGTCTTTAGTTGCTTCTATATAAGATCTCAATCCACTTTATCTCTTATATTTATGTATTTTTTTTCAAACTAGTCCTTTTAATAATGATAGTTCTAACCAATATACTTGATTAGCAGGGATTATTTTAGGAAAGACAACACATATTTATTACAAATAACTAACTTAACTTATCTCTTTAATCTCCTTAAATTAGTCAACTAATTCTTATAATTTAGGACCGGAGGTAGTATGATCTAAAAGTTGTTCAATCTTCACGTCAAAACCAAAAATAAAAAAAAATGTTGTTCAGTCTTTCCTTTTTCTTCCTTCTCTTTTTCGCCAATCTTACTCACTTCCGTCTTCTATATGCTTATCATACTTTCTTTAGTTAGGTGTATAAATTTTACTAAGATGGGAAAAAAATTCAAAAAACATTTATTTAAACAGACATGGACAATTTTTTTAAGTACCCAGACAAGCCTAGGCTCGAAAGAGTGGAAACAAGCCAGAACTAACTTCTAGTAAAACAAAAGGCAATAAAAAACAGCGTGGACATTTTCAAGCCCTCTTTGTAACTCAAGCGTTTTGCAGTGTGCGGAGGCCCAAATGACGTGGGCTTAAGCCCAAAAACAAGCCCAGCGTCATATTTCCTTCTAGAAAACAAAGCCAGGCTGCCGGGACTTCTTTGGATTAATGTTGAGCAAAGCAACTTTTATCCTAGGTAACTTCTGCAAACTAAATTTGTAGTAAAAGTTATTTAGTACAATGTAGTTTATGTCTATATGGGGTTTTATAAAAAAAAAAAAATTAGTTTGATAGAAACTTATTTGCATGGTATATCAAAAAATCAATTTCAAAATATTCAAATATAAAAAAAAAAACCCAAGAAAAATTGCTTCAATTTTAAAAGTGATTTTTTGGCAAAAAGTCAATTACTCTTAAAGTCACGCTAAATATCATTTATTATCCAATTAATTTTTTTTTTGTTCCAACTGATTGCTGAGGCTTCTGGTGCCAAAATAAACTTTTACTGGTTTGAAGTTTAGGGTTTAGATAGACCAATATAATGAGTAAAATAGACCCTAGTTCACCTACCAAGTTAATAATATGGGTCCTTTTTTTTTAGCCCGTCTTGATCTAAAATATAAGTCTAGTTCAATAATAACATCTAGTGTGCTTTTTTTATTTCACTTTTCCCTTATATGGAATTAATGATCCGACTTTCATTTAAAATGATCTTTTTAACTTTTAATAAGAATATATATAAAAGTGCTCCAATGTTTTTACATCTTTAATGAGCTAATAACTATATGTTTAATTTGTATATGTCTAAACCTTGAACATATGTTATGGATTGGAGGCGCATGCTGTATACATTACACGTAAGCCAAAAGCACTAGATATTGATAGTTCGAAGCATGAAAGGGAATAAATTTGAGTCCAAACAATGGATTTAGTAAGCTCTTGCCAACAACCACATCTATTGAATAGAAACATTAAACTAAAACCCGTACAAAATGGACACCCAGGAAAAAAAATGCCACATGCAAATAACGAAATAATGAAGAATTATAAGACTGACTTACCAATGATGCCTGCGCCCATAAGAAACCGCGGAGCCATCTATTAATGGTAATGGAACTCTATGAGAAGTTTCCTCTTGTGATGAGTTGCCACCCCTTGATCACTTATACTATCCTAAACATTTAACTACATTTTCCAACTGAAATGGAATATTATTACCAAAATGAAATTTCCCATCCAGAATAGCCCTAAGAAGCCATGATCTCGAGCAGATTCCAACAAACTAAAAAAGTAGGGGGAGAGAATGAATATAATAAAGGAGTTAAATACTCTAATTTTTAATATAATACTTAGTTACTACCTTCTGTCTTAATTATAAAACATTATTTATGGATTACAAACGAGATTTTATAATTAGGACCAGAGGTATTAATTAATTTGAAAAAATTAAAAAATATAAATAAATAAATTTAAAGTATTTATAATTATTTTTTTAAACTAATTTGGAGAATTAATGAAATTACTAAATTTTTTAATTATAGCATATGTTACATGATCTTTCTAAAATATTTATATGAACCATTAGATTATATATCAATTTATAAATAAAGCAAATTAGTTTGGAGAAAAATAATAAATATAAATAGTTTCAAGTAAGTTAATATCTTCCCTAATCTTTCCAAATTATTAAGAACTAGAGGTGGCATAATTTATTAATACACATAAATAATATATTTACAAAAATAATATAACATATGTTATAATTAAATAATTTATTTAGCTTTTTTAATCTTTTCAAGTTAGTTAACTAAGTCAAAAACCAGAAGAAGTAGTAGTATATATCTTTCGTCTTGAAAAAAAAAACAACACTTTATGGAGAGGAAGAAACAACATTGACAGATTTCAATAGGTAGGTTAATTTTTTTAATTATTATTCACCCCTTCAGAATGCTTAAATAACACTCTGGTATGTTCAGTGTAAAACAATATGATTATATAACTGTTTAATTAACAAATTGATATTGGCTTGTGGTAATCTCACGACTCTACTTGTTCTTTTTTTGACCTTGCGGCTCTACTTGTTCGTGTCATATACATAAACCAAAATACAGGTACTATTTAAATATTATACTCCTCTAGTCTTTAATATATAGATTAAAAATATTTATTAAATTAATTAATATGATTTTTTTTTAAACATTCTAATCATCTTCTTTAATTCCTTCCCTCCATCTCTTTTGATTAGTGTTTGAAGGAATATCAATAAGGTAATTTGAAAAAATTAATAAATGTGTAAATTAATTCTTACTATATAAACTAATATCAATTCTCAAATTAAGTGTCACATTAAGAACTAAGGAGTAATAAGTTCCATATATAAAAGAATTGAAAACGGTAAGGTTGTGTGTCTAGTAAACAAAGTGAAGAACCAATATCTAAGCTTTTAGTTTGGTGAATGGTAACTCCTAATAAATGATCATTTGAAATAGTTTATTATACGTAATTTTTATCATGATTTATAAAATATGAGATAAGTATGTAAGTAAAATTTTATCCTAACTTCCGTGAAACGTACTTATAGGTGCTTTTAAATACTATCCCAAACACGCTAACAATCATCCAAAACTCAACATGCCATAAAATGAATTAGAGAAAATGACTGAAATATCCTTCTGTCAAATAAGTATTTTATATTTTCCCTTTGATTGTTAATTCAAAAATATATTTTAAAATAAAAAATTGTTATTTAACTATTTTTATTATTACTGATAATATAAGTTAATATTTTACTTATTAAAAATCATACAAATTAACAAACAGTACTGAATGTTTTTATACATGTCTTTTGTTCGATTAACTTTTTTTTCATTAGTAATCCTGTCATAACAAATACTGCCTCTGGTTCTTAATATAAGATCTCGTTGATTTTTATTTTGGTCATAAATATAAAACCTCAATCCACTTTGTCTCTTATGTTAATTTTTTTTCAAGATATTCTTTCTAATAATAGTAGTTCTAGCCAATAAACTTGATTAGCAAGTAGAAAAATAACACCTATTTATTATAAATAACTAACTTAACCTATTTCTTTAATTTACTCAAATCAATCAATTAGCTCTTATATTTAGGACTGGAGGTAATACAAGATAAATCATGCTCACTGCACCAAGTGATATTCTCAGTCTAGAAACAGCACAGTCCTGAAGAGCTTTTTTCGTCGTAGCAAAATCAAAATACACGAAAATATCATTAAAAAAAAAAGAAAATTCTCTAGATGCAAAATGTAGGGTTTCCACAGAAATAATGTATGTAGATCCAGATCCTGGAAATAAGGCATCTGTTGTGATTATTGAGTTTTGTTACCCAAAATAGTTTTTTTTGTCAGCTCACCCGTCTGTTAGTAGGCCAACATTTTTCAGCCTTTACCATCCTATCATTATGGACACGGAGAGAAATAAAAATGAGAAAATATTAATTGAAATATTGATGACTTTATTCGACTCCTCATCCAATCTGAAAATTAAAATCTTCTTCAATGATTATTAAATTATTCTACGCT